AAACCGTACACGGTGTGCAAATTTGATTGAAATCGGTTCGGTAGTTTAGGAGTCCATAGCGGACAAACAACGTGACACGTAATTTATGTATATTAAGATTTTTGGCATTCTATTGCCAAGAGTTATTTTTTCTTGTAAAAAGTTAACGAATTTTAACAGGATTGCTATAAATTGCGTTGCGCTTACTGAATCCTGTCTCCGACACTATGGACATTTTTATATGTTCACAGTACTAGCTATATTGAGTATCTTATGTAATTAATATTATATATTTTATTATATTTGCTTTTTCTACATTATCGTATTGATTTAGGATAGTGTATGTATTTTTGTGAATAAATCATTTACATGTATGAAAAAGTAAAGTTTGTAGGTAAAATAATAATAATGATAATAGCCTATTCAGATACTTTTACTCTTAAACACATTATTACCTCATTCTTTTTAGGTATCTGTGTGCCCTTTTTTGGCAAAGGCGTCCAGAACCGCCGTAAACAGTTTTGGTAACAGAAAGTCTAAAAAGCGATTAGCAAATCAATTCAAAAAATCATACATACAGCGCTGGCGCAATTGACGTCACGCCGACCCAAAATGACTCTTGAACGAGACCACCTTCAATGAGCTTGCATCGGTAAAAGCTACATTATTCTTTTTTTTTATTAAAGTGAATATTTTATTGATTACAATTAAGTATACAGTATAAGTGCACAGGCGCTTATTAAAGATTTAAGTTGGCGCCTGGTAGATAGTACCGGTGACCCCAGAGCTGGTGCTTTCCTGGCACAACGAAAGTATGGCAATACAGTGAGGTAATGCTGTCAGCGTTAAAGGTACACTGCCACAGGGACCAAACATTTTAAATTTGTTTTGATTTTATTTTTAACTATTTCATTATTACTTTGTTAGTTAAGAAAATTGTAAATAATGTATATTATTCTTAAATGTACTAAATAAATTACTTTTGATTATTATTTGTTGGTATTTGTTACCACGTGAATGAAGACGCGCAGCAACGGAATGCTTTCAAATGTTAAAAACACATAGTTTTACTTGGCGCCTGTTTTTATATCGTACAATGATATTCTGCATCTACGCGATGTTACGTACAGTCGGAAAGCACAGAATCTGACCGAGATTGTCTGGTATTATTTTTAATTTGTCATCATTACAGTGTATTCTGCTAAACTGACTCTTAGTAGTGTTATTGGACCCTTTTTTTGTTAAATATTCTTTTTAATTTGGCTGAGCTTAAACTTAATTATTAGTCTTACTCGTAAATTAGGCGACATTAGGCCCAGAATGTCTCAATTGAGAGACACTTAATTAAGAAAATCTTATAGGTATAAGTTATATTCTTCTTTTCGGCTACTCAATTTAGGAAAACAACGTTTCTTGTGTTTATACAAACCATACCATTGGTTGAATGAAGCCTTTACAAGCAATTTAGGATCCCGCAAACTACTCATTTATGTATCCCAAAGCCATCCGAGTCGTAAATAGCGCGTTTTACTGACCCCCCTTCAAGGTATTCGTTATTTGTCCCTTTGACCTTACGACGTGACTGGGTCCAAATTGTAATCGTAAGATATGATCGTTATTATTGCGTTCCGCAGCCTAATGGTGAAATTATAATGTAAAATAACTTGCATTCTTTCTAAATGTCTAATTAAGATATACTTTTACTGATACATGGCTAGACAGACCAAAAGACGCAATATATCAAGTACTAACTTTTTCACAACTATCGAGAGTCAAAATCTTATTAGCTTTTCTTTAAAATAGTACACAAGAACAGGCTGTCTTCCCTTTAATAGAGACTGTAAGTAGTGTTATTGGACAGTGGCTTATGTTTAATATCCTTTTTAGTAAATTAGGTTTTTTAGTCCTAAGTTAGCCTAGATCGTAAAGTTAAATTGTCTTTGAGCCGAGACAATGTATTAAAAAATCGCTTTTAATTATGTATGTAACGTCCGTAAGCCTTTTTTTACCATAAGTCAAAACATAATTTTTTGGTGTGCTATAGATCATGTGAAGGTAAACCTAGTAAGAAACACATACAACAATATTATTATAAAATACAACAACACACATATAACAATATTATTTTAATTGTTTTACGGTTTAAAAAATTCTTATAACCTTAAATTCTAATATTTTGTTCACTTTCTTTTGTTTCCTTATGTCATAACAATGAATATTTTGTAAAAACTATGGTGGTACTTTTCCATCCAATAGAAAAATAATAAACACAGAGCGCCGAAAGTACCATGTGCAAGATTCATACGTAATACGTATAAGTTCTTTAGACTTTCAAAATATAGTTTAGTTACTACGCAGTACGCAACCAGTTTATCGTAAATAAATAATGACGATGTTATTAATCAAAGACTAAAAAGTAAAATAATTTATTATCTATGACACGTCAAAGACGGCAACGGAATTTTGCCACAGTGAAAAAATCATTATTATTCTATACTGAAGGTTTAAGAAGATAATATCTTCTTATTGAATCATAAACATCAGAAAAATCCATAAATTGTTTTTAATAGGGGTCTGCTTATTTAAAAATTATTAAAATATTTTCTGAATCAATCAATTATTGACGTTTCATATAACAATGTTTTAAATATAAAAAAAGGTATATTTTTATCGTCATTCGTCATCCACAGATAACATAGAAAGAATACTATTTTTTTCGTATTATAAATCAAATTACCAAGTTACACTATTTTATAGACGGGACTTCCCCGAAACATCAACGAAGGAAGGAGCAATGTAAACAGTTTTATCATTAGCCCAGTCTGGCTTACAAGCTACGATAACGCTGATAAAGCAACAAAGCAATCACACGAGTATTATTAGCGTCACATTTATGGGAAAAATATTTTTAATTATCCTTAAATAAATGGTACCTATTTTTTTAAGACTTCATTACAAGATCAGAAATTTACAGCGCCTTCGTATTTGGCCAGGAAGTCGTTAATTCAATTCCGGGAGAAATGTTTAAGTCAATATTTTAATGACACATACAACATGTAAGGTTATATTATTTTCATATTTTCTTCCAAGAACTCTTTACAAACATTACTTTGAGAGAAAATAGAAGAGACGGCATTCGTTATGATGTAGAAAAAGAATTAGGTTTTGAATTGGGAATTGGAAATTAAACACACTTCTTTTTTGTCTGTAACGATGTAATATATTATTATTTACAGATAATAGCGTAGGTATACACGATGAAACACTGTATCTCTCATGTTGTCGTCTTGATGTCATGAGTTCGAATCCCGACTCTGCTAACTCTAACTTTCTTGATCGTAAGTATTTATTGGCCACATAGAATTAATTCGCAAGTTACCATAGCGCTAATACAATGGTTTGTGGTAGCAGAAGCCTGGTCATCTTACTTACTTGCATATTATTAACAAGCTTAAGCTTAGACGGAATTTGGCACAAAATTACGATAAACGCTGTAATTTAAACAGCATAATAAGATCGATATGTACTCTGTAGTTATAGACACCAGAAATCATTGTACCCATAATGGAGGCAACGTTTAAATAATTATAATTAAAATCAAAATATATTCATATAGATAACATCACGACAACGGTCAATTCATTATATCATGCTTCGTGCTGACGCAATGAATCCCAAAATTAAATAAAACAAACGTTTAGTCTCTATAAGCAAATAGCAATAGCCAACGCGAAATATGAGCACACACTTACATAATAGTCAAAACTATATCTAAGCATATCATACTATTATGATTGATATTATATTAATTATGTGCTCTTATTAACATTATTATTAACCTATACATTAGATAGTTCAGTTCCATAATATTGAGTACGTTGAAAGGAGAATAAAAGTCCGAAAACAAGATCAATTAATTGATAATTTTAATATTCATACAATATCTAGTATACATACTAATTAAGATGCATTCTAAACTAGACTAAGTGAGACAAAAATAACAATTATATTAAGTATTTTTTCACAGATATAAGTTTTTAAAAATGTGCTATTGCTTAAAATTATACATAGAATACCTTCTTCAATATAACATTATACTAATCTTGTAATACATGTACTTTATTACTATTTACATTATTGCACGCCTCTGGCAGTGCTCTACTCTCGACATGTCAAAAAACCCAGTCTTTCGAAACTTGAATGACTTTTTTCTCACTAATATAACACTTACAGGATAATATGAGTGCACTAAAATCGAGTTAAATAATCTATCAAGCACATATGGTATTTTTTATGAACAATTATTTTGTTTAACATAGTAAATAATAACATTAAAATCAATCATTCTTGGACGTCCGTCAGTCTGTGTTTATGGATCCATGTATGTGGCAGAGAAATTGGTCGAAAAATTTATCGTACCAGAATACTTTTTTTCTTATTATATAAAGTTATACCCTAGGCTGATTCCTAGTTAATATTAGCGTTCTAAGTACTGTCGTTTAATTATAATTTGTAAAAAACTAAAATACGACAGTGTATTTTCCTCACCTTAGAGTTATGGCGCCACTATATATTTTTTTATTATATTATTGTTTTTTTCAAATCATTCATTTTCATTTATTTTTATTTACTTTTTGTTATTTTGTTTTAAAAAACTTGAGTTTTTGTTTTAGATTTTTTTTTAAATGTGAATGACCGCTATGAGGCATGCACTTTTGGATTTTCCAAACTATTATGTATAATATAGTATAAAATCTGCGTTTATAAATAAGTGAGATGATGCCGTATCCGAATTGCGCTTGCAAAGCTACTCCGACCGCTAAGGATACAAACAACTTATCGACCTGGACCTCTGGGCCTGTCCGTAGGACCCTCCCATCTTTCAAAACTTTTTGTAAATAATTATTAATACAACATTTACTATTATGTCAAGAATCTAACATCGATATAACTAATTATATAATATAAATCACAAAAGTATGTCCAAAGGTAAAATCAGGCAACAATTGGACACATTTCTATTATAAGTTCGAATTTTCAATGGCGTCTGTAATATGTTGCGTGCTATACGATCTTTGCCTAGATGATAGTATGTGTTTATAAATTTTAAACATAGTAAAACACAACAAAATTATAAGTATTAAAGCAACGCAGATTTCTGTAAACAGAGAACCTGAATTATATGCCTTGAGTTCACGTTTTGCAGTTAGTTTCTCTGTTGGTTTAACTGTTGGTATACCATCAATTTTTTTATTTAAAAGTAATATTTTATCACTTACTTCTGCCAAAATCTTTTCTTTTTCAATTGTTAGAGCATTATCAAAATCTTGCTTTAGTCTAGCAATGTAGGCTATACTTTCGTTAGTAGTATTGTATTTTAGTACTGGTAAAGATGTTGTTTGAGTGACAGTATTAAAAGTAACGATCATTTTCAATATTCTCTCTAACAAAGAATTACTAACGCTTTGTTCGTGTGCGACCTCGTGGGTTATATTTTTTAACGACTGACTTACGACGCGTATCAACTCACTGGTATTGTGGTCATTATTTTCGTAAAGAGCCGTCCTTATTGTTTGATTCAACAATGTTTCCAATGTATCTAATTTAATATGTGTCTCTTCATCTTCATTTATTCTCTTTGGAAGATTTCTATTTTCTACTGATAAATTTAGTAGGATATCTCTTATATCGATAAGAATATTATCAGTGCCATTCATTTCATTGTTTCTTTTATTTTTATCATGACCAACACAGGAAACTCCATCTATGTTTTCATTATTATTCACGTCTAAAGTGATTGCAGTTACAGTCATACTTGATGTCTGTTTAAGTTTCATTAAATTGTCGCAATGAATAAGATTACCACCTATACTCAGGACTGATAGATAAAGTGGAAATTCCTCGATTTCGATATTAGAAATCTTATTAAAATCTACAATCAGAGTATTCAAATTTTGAATTCCATAAAATCTCTCACTTCTCAACTCTACCAGCTTGTTGTAAGATAAATCAAGTTCACTTAAATAAGATAAACCACGGAAGATACCATAACTGATTGTATTCAAATTGTTATGAGAAATTTTTAGGACATTTAAGTTATAATTGTCTTTGAAGACTCCTGGTTGTATAAAAAATAAATTATTATGGCTCAAATCTAAAAATCTTAATCTTGTTAAGTTAGTGAAGGCTCCAACTTCTAATTTTTGCACTTTATTGTTATTGATACTTAAGGAATTTAAGTCTTGTAAACATCTTAATCGAAGGGTGGTAACATTATTTATATTACATTTTGACAAGTCCAGATCAGTTATTGTTAGCTGTGTCTTTTCGTTAAAACTATGAGCTGTTTCAATTCCTGACATGTTAAGTTTTTGTACGGTTGGAACCTTATCTAAAAGTGTAAAATTGAATCGCAAATTTTTATTACTTGATATATCTAATGAAACAAGGCGTTTCAAATCACTGAATGTTTCATCATATAAAAAAACTATTTTATTGTGGGCTAAGTTAATCTCACTAAGCATAGTTAAATTAGCCACAAAGTCTTGTGCTACAATTTCAATTAAGTTATGATCAAGGTATAACACTCTCAGATTAATCAAAGATGTTTTGTTGATACTAAATACGCTTAATAAATTGTGCGATAAATCAAGAACATTTATATTGCCGGTATTGATAAAACTATTAAAACTAACTTCATTGACAGTGCTGTGTGAAATATTTAGAGTATGAAGGCTGGTCATTTCATTAAATGAGTTATTTTTGATAACTGTAAGTGACGTACACGATATATCGAGAGCAGGCAAAGAAATCAACCCCTTAAAAGTGTTGTTTTCTAATGCCTGAGATAGAGGGTTGTTACTTATATCAAAACTTATAAGCTCATTTAAGTCTTTAAATGAAAAAGATTCAACTTCTGAAATGTTGTTGTTAGAAACATCTAACATTTCCATTAAATTTAAACTATCAAAGTGTCCTTTTCCTATAATTCTTAACAAATTACCTTTTAAGGATAAAAATTGTAATTTCAAAAGGTTAATTACCTCAAAATTCAAATCGTGAATTTGGTTATCAGATAGATCTAAACGCCGTAAGTTCCGTAACGAATCAAATGAACTTTTTGATACATTTTGAATTTCGTTATTATTAAGCATGAGAACTTCTAACATATCCAGCCCAACAAAAGCAAAGTCTTCAATAGATGTTAACCTTTGGTGGCTGATATCTAGTTCAACAATAAAACCTAATCCTTCAAAAGTACCCTTTACCAATTCTCCTTCCAAAAGATTTTGTCTTATATCAAAGAAAGATATACTTTTCCCCTTAAAAATACATTTAGGTAGCTTACGAATCTCATTCAATGACAAATCAATAGATTTCAAAGCAGTTATGTTAAAAAACATACGTGGATCCATTGAATTTACTAAATTTTTCTTGAAATTAAGATTTTTTAGGAAAGGCATATTATCGAAGACATTTTTTTCTATTAACGAAATAACATTATAGCTTAGATCTATTTCGATGACTTTGTTTAAATGTCTTAAGTCAGCTAATAATATGCTTGATAATTCATTGTTATTTAAGTACAAATATTTAAGTTGTGTAAATCTGAACAGAGAAGAGTTTATTTCTTTTATTTTGTTATGAGCTAAATTTAAATATAAAAGATTTTTCACTCCTTCAAAAGAAAATGCATTTATTATTGATATTTCATTGTGTGACAAATCTAAATATTGTAATTCAGAGAAAGCATTAAAATTTGCATCTCTTATTTCCCAGAGTCTATTATGAGATATATTGATTTTTGTTAGACTAGTAAAAGCAAATTCATCATTATTAATTTCAATTTCAGTTATCAAATTGTTAGAAATATCCATGTCGGACAAAACCGGGAAACGATTCAGTGAACTAAGCTTAGCTGTGGTTATAAGATTACATGATATATTTATAATTGTCAAATTATTCATAGCTGGTGGTAAAGTGGGGATTTCAACATACTTATTGTGACTTATATCCAGTAATTCAACACAATTTCTATAATCGTAATAAACATCTGGTTCAAATTGAGGATTCACATTCTCAACGTCATTTACTTTGTATGTTATGTATATCGGTAGGCAAAAATTATTGTAATTTGGAATATACTTTGTGAAATCACTGCAATATTGCGAAATGGGATCACCATGCCTTATTATGTTATGATCTATATAGCCCGTACACTCTTTTTCTTCTATGCACTTTATTTCATCATAGCGTGATGTACATTCCGCATTTGTTTTTGATTGCAGCCATATATAATTTATCAGCATCATCCCTGAAACATATTAAGTTATTTAACAAAATGGCTATTAGCCCAAAAAAATAAAGTGTTATTGAGACTAATCTAAATTAAACATGACTTTAAAAAGTGTTTTGGTGTTAAAAAACTTGGTATGAATACTAATAATTATTATACGTCACTCACGTGACACAAAACGGTAACAGATTTATCGAATCGACGATGATGTGAGTTTTTGACGTTCATAAGTGTACTTGTTTACCTATATGAATAAAGATGTTTTGAGTTTGAGTTTGATGATTAACACTATATACTGGCGTCGGGACGTGACCATCCAATCGTTCACTGGTGAAATAAACTGTGACAAAGGTTGCTTCACCAGGGCAATCAGTCAACCCCCTTCCTAGTGGGGAACCTAGTCATAATGTTGCTTTTGGGCTTCAGCCAAATGGGCAGGCATGACCGGGGTAGTCCCATTGTCTCACAGAATACCGGCGTGAAGTGATGCAATAGGTTCATTTTTCAGTAGGTTCGTTGCAGTGAGTGAAACTTATCTTCTTCCACACACTTCCGCAGTGGAGAATCCACCTCTGGACGTCCACCATCGCAACATTCAGCATTCGGTGGTGGATGCAGCAGCTGCCCTTTGTATGTTTTGATCTCGAAGAATTTACCGAAGGCAACCCCTTTCACACTCATCGTGGACTTTACCAACGTTAGGGCCTCAATTCTAACATCAAAATTGTTCTCCAATATAATAGAAACCATTATTGACGTCTAGCTTCTGAGGTATCTAGAGGGCCACCAGCTGATTAATGAATATAAATACCGCTTTCGTCGTGTCGCGCAGCGACTGTCCTTCTTGTATACCTTACAAATAGATGGGCAGAGGCAATTGAGTCCAAGGGGGAAGCGCTAGCGGTTAGCGAATTTTGGATATAACCAAAGCTATCATCATATCCGATGGGCTCTCCGAGGAATTATGCAACTGAATCTCCGTCTCTCCAATCGCTGATTGGAGCATGAAGGGCGTCATCGACGAAGCTTGTTCCGACCTAAAGAATGTGTCTTTACCCGGCATTCTTTTTTCTACATATCAATTATATATTGCAAGTAAGCAACATATCACCTTTAAGCTGGTCGGGACAAACTAGTGTCTGAAGTCGAAATTCTTCTACATGGAGTCTCGAACTGAGGTCGATTTATTCTAGTCTAATTTAACCCCAGGATTTTGCGCCTATTCTGCTAAATAAACATCCTTGGTCGCTTCTCCTCCCTCCTTATAGCCTCTGCCAGCATCGGAATACTAGGTATGGGGACATATTGGATAACGTTCAGTATTGCAGTTATCACCTCTGGGGAGCTCCCCAGTACCAGCTCCTTCCACTTGTCGAACAGCGATTTCATTCGTCCACCACAGTCACTTTCTGAGCGGCTTGATCCTTTGGAGTTGTGTAGAAATATGGGGGCTCTCTGCGTCTTCTATCGCATTTACCATGGAGAGGGTTTAGAATACGATAAAATCAAAATAATAACTTCCACCCGTATAACCTAAGAACTCGTCAAATATTTATATTTTTCATTTAAAGTAAGATTTATAAAATAATTTGACAGAACTCGGCAATATTTTTCTATAAGACTCATTTGGTTTGGATACTAATAAGGACTTGAATTCGTGTATGCGGTGATGTTAATTATTTCGACTATGTGTTTGCGTGTTGTTCCCACGAGAATGTAAGTGCGTGCTCCTATTTCACCATGCCTCCTGCTGATAGTCTTTGTTTTTATTTATGTTATTATTAATTACTTAAAATGTCATGTGGAACATGGTGTAATGGTTGCAGCTCCTTACAAACGTTGTGTAAAAAAAAAAAAACATGGCGATTAAAAAGAGTGGCGGAGAGTTTATTGCCAGTTCTTTTCTTCCGTTCTACGCCCTTGATTTGAGAACTGGCAGTAAATGTAAAATTAAAAGCATTAATATTTATTTCTTTAATGACGAATCACAAGTGTACATTGTGTTACCTATGTGAATAAATGATTTTTGAATTTGAATTTGAATAAAGAAACATATAGTTTTTAAAACTAAAAACTATAAACAAAATTATTATTCGTGCTTTTTATAATAGACTTTGATAATTTTAAATTCACATATGAACGCCTTGAAGGGCATTTATACTATAGATCAGTGTTACCCAACGTGGGGCGCACGCCCCACAGAGGGGCAATTTGATTATTAAGGGGAGCTATATGATTTTTTTTATTAAAACAATTATTTGGAATTTCGTTTTTCATTATACGTTACAAAATCTACTTGTGTTTCGTGAACAATTTTTAAGTAATTTCTTCCTAAAACCTACCATTTAAGTTTCTTAAGTGAGCAATTCAATTTAAGATATAAAAAATTATGTATGTTACATAGGGGGAGTAAGGGTAAGGTGGGGTATGGCACAAAAAAGATTGGGAAACACTGATGTGACTGTGACTAGATAGATGTTATTGTATTCAACGACAAGGGTTGCAAAGTATAATTATAAATAATCGAGACTGAGAAAGGCTTACAGTTAAAAACTATACTCGTATAATTCGGCAAAAGCAACAATCAAAAATGAGTTTATAATATTGATGTAGGCTTAATTAGATTAATTAAACAAGGTTGCAACATCACGATGTTTGGTGATGTTTTGAGGAGGTTGAACTACTATCAATATATTAATTGTATTAAAATCTTCTCAAGCATTATTTGTCGAAATTATTTTATTTACACACATTTTTTTTTAAATCTTCTATTCATGATTTATACATATTCATTCATGCATTATCATTTCTGATAAGTTTTCTAAGTAGGTATACTTACACAAAAAAGACTTCATTGTGAATAAATCTGTGAAATAAATTGTTTTGATTAAATAAATTTAAAATGTTTATGGATTATAATTAGAGCAATGTTGGCCTAGTGGCTTAAGCGTGCAGCCCACATCCCTAAGACCGTGCATTCGAATCTCAGCTGTGCACCAATAGAAATATCTATCTATGTGTGCAATTAGTTCCTGCGGTGTATAACAAGTACACCTAGGAACGGTAAAGGCACCAGTCACCTAGGAGACCGGCATGTTTAATATCGAAAAATCGAAGACAGAAATTCTGATCACCAACTTGTCTATACCCATCAACTTGTATATACAGTCTTGAAGCGTCACTAGATGATTATTTACTATTAAAAACTTACAACATGCCCAAAAGTAAAAAATGGGTGAGAACATCATTTCAGAAGCAGTTCCCCGTTGTAATTATTCAATAGATTTCGCAGCACTCGCAAAATCGTTTAAGTTACTTTCATAGACACTCGCAAATATTAACCATTGAATAATATATAGTTATAATCAACCCTTTTAATTTATTGAAACTTAAGGTAATAAAATACAGCCTGAATTATTCAAAACCTTAGTGTCTCACAAAAAAACGTTCTTTCGTGCGTCGTCTTTCCTATAAATTAAATTAGATAAAATTTCGTACCTCTTAAATTTTCATAACTCGGAGTACAAGAATTCACTCTGTCCAAACGTTACCACGTTACAAATTTTACACACTAAATACAGCTTGGCAAGGAATATAACAGACGTATAAATAGCTGATTTCGCAAGTATCTATGTAAAATATATTAACAAATTAGAGATCCGTTGAATAATAGCAGTTAAACTTACTTTTTTTTAATGATGCGTAATTTTACCGATTTAAAAAAACCAATCCGGTTATGAAATCGACGTCTTTTCATATGTTCAAGCAATTCCCCCACCTGTGGTGGAATTGGACGATCCTGGAACTGCCCTGCGATTCTGTAACTCACTTTTCGAACTCACACAGCGGTTTTCGCATCGGCGGTCGCTCTCAAATCAGTCGTGAAGCAGTCATTTTACGATTTGGCATTCTGATAAACAAGCTCCCTTTCAGAACGCCAAATCGTGAGTTACAGAATCGCAGCGCTGAACGGTTAAGTCATGTGATTCTGATTAGCAGTGATTTGCAATAGGTCCGAATTATAAAAACGAAGTTGTAGACGATAGAATTCGGTAAGAGAGATGCTAGGCATTTATACAATCAGACTTCGTTTAACCGCACCGGCAAAGTTCAACAGACGCAGAAATGTATATGGCGGGTAAATTAAAGAAGGGTTGAAAAGTAAATATGAAGCTACTATTATAACCAATACCACGGATGTAATGTTTTTGAGTCAAATAAAGTAATTTTTATTTATTTATTTTAATAATTTGTAACGAATGGATAATGTCATAATATTTAGGACAAAGAGTGGGATAAATAACAAAAATAATCAAAAATATAGAGACTTTATTTAAGTTTTATACAACACTTATTAAATCGAATAATAATGCCTTATTTAAGTACTTTCTTATAATGCCCTAAATTATAAATATATTATAAAATATACATTTCTCAGATTACATATTATCAGATTCATTTATAAACTAATTAACTACAGTTTTAAATGGACTTAAAATTAACTTACATATGTTTATAATGTAAAACTTTTCATGTCGTTATATTTTATTTCAAGGCATCCGGTATTTTTTAATTACAAATGTTATAAGTTAGAGCTCTCCATAACGTTACTAATCTGCTGAGTGCTTATTGACCTCCGCCGTGAAGACACACGCATATATATTTTATAAACTATGAATGATAAGACAATGACAAGTATAAGGGATGTAGAGATCTCTGTATACAATAAACGTGTTTTTAATTTGGAGTCTTGCACAACTTTTTCACTTAAAGGTTTTGGTGAGGAAACACTTTCTACTTTCTTACTCATGAGGGATATCTTGTCGTTAATTTCGGAAAGAATATTTTCTTTCTGAATCATAAATGAATGTTCGATTTCCTGTTTCAGTTTATTGATATATGGTAAATTATCGGTTGTACTTTTCTCATTTATACTTTGATGAACTTCTGATATAGAAGAGTTTTTTGTAGCTAAAACCTGCAAGATTTTATCTAGCAAAGTGTTTGTTAAGTTATTGTTACTAAGATTATTAAAGGATTCATATCTAGTGATATTTAGATACGCTGTCATTAATACACTGCTTACATTAAGAGCGTGACTTAAGTTTTGCAATGTAGTTTTGGTCTCCTTAAAAGAGTCAATAATCATATCCAACTTTGTCGAATGTAAATTTTTTGCCATATCAGATTCAGTGGCAACGCTATCACTAGCCCGTTTTGAAGACATACTTATCAAAACATCACGTATTTCAGTAAGGATATTATCGTTTGTATTTATATTTTCTTTATTTTGATGGTTTTTATGTATAATACGACCAGAACATGCCACACCATCAATAATATTATCACTTTCTTCAGCCAATTTTAAAGCACTTACTTTTGTATTTTTATACTTATTTTTGAATTTCATTAAATCGTTACAAGAAATAGGATTACCGCCAATACTTAAAAACGAGAGGTAAAGTGAAAATTCTTCAAGCCCAATTCTAGAAATATGATTAAAATCAACTATCAAACTCCGCAAAGTTTGTATATCATAAAAACGTTCACTTTGTAATTCTTCTAACTCATTGTATGAAAGATCGAGGACATTTAAACTTACTAATCCCTGAAATATACCATAGTTTACGGATATTAACTGATTATGAGAAATGTTAAGAGTTTTCAAATAGCTGTTATCTTTAAACACACCTGGCTGTATATACCTTAATCCGTTGAAACTTAAGTCTAATGTTTCAAGCTGTGTTAAATTTGTAAATGCTCCCATTTCTAACTTTTGAATATTATTATTGCTCAACACTAGAATTTGTAAGTTATACAGATGAGTTATTCCCAACGACGATACATTTGTTATGTTTAATTTTGACATATCCAAAAACATTAATGGTATACTTAGGTGAAATTTAATTGTTCTTGATATACCTGGTATTAAAAGATTTTTGATGTTTTGGATATTTATCAGTGTTAAATTGGCTTTCAGATGATTATTGTAAGATAAATCAAGATATGACAGTTCATTTAAGTTACATAAAGTATCATCATTTATCATTGTTAAATTATTATAAGACAAATTTATATTAGTTAACATGCTAAGACCTGAAATGGGTGACAAAATAGTAATTAAATTATGGCCGAGATTTAGTATTCTTATATTATTTAAACTTTTTATATTAACATGAAATGCTGTGAGTAAATTGTGAGATAAATCAATGATTTGCAGTTTCCCTGTATTATCAAAGCTATTATAACTAATCTCTTTCACAGTACTGTGCGAAATATTAAGAGTATGAAGGCTAGTCATATGATCAAATGAATTATTTTTAATTACAGTAACATAACTAAAAGAAATATCTAGAATTGGTATGGCCCGTAATCCTTCAAATGCATATGCATCTAAAACATTTGATAAATTGTTATGGCTTATATCTAACTTTTCCAGGTATGACATTTTGTTAAAAGTATGTGGTATTATATTCGATATATTGTTATAGGAAATGTCTAAATTAATTAATTTTTCTGTTCCTTTGAAGAAAAATTGTGAAACTGAATTGATTACATTTGATGTTATCGAGAAGTGCTCTAAGTTAACAAGACCGTTTATATCAAAATTCAAAGCAGTTATCTGGTTGTTTGATAAATCTAGACGTTGCAGAGTGTCTAAGGAATGAAATGATTTTTCGGATATACTGCGTATAACATTATTATTCAACGTAAGAATCTCTACATTTTTAAGACCATAAAAAGCAAAATCGTGAAGAGATGCTATGCTTTGGTAACTCAAATCTAAATCGAGGATGCCAGATAGGCCTTCAAAAACGCCTTTAGATAACTCATTCTCCAAGTTATTTTCCCTCAAGTCAAAGTACGTTATATTTTTGTCTTTAAAAATATATTTTGGTAAACTTTGTAAATTATTTGCTGATAAATCAATTTCCGTTAATGCAGTATCTTTGAATAAGTTTTGTTCTAAAGTTTTTAACTCATTGTGATTTAAATCTATGATTGACAGCTGCCCCGTATTATCAAAAGTAGTGTTTTCTATGAAGGTGATAGCATTATGGCTCAAGTATAATTCTTTTAGTTGAAGCAATTTATTAAAATCTTTATGCAGAAGTGTCTTTATTTCGTTGTTATTAAAATATAGATATTGAAGTTGAGTACATCTAAACAATGATAAACCAATTTTTGTTATTTTATTATGTTCTAAATTCAAATATAGTAGATTTTTAAGGCCTTCAAAAGTAACTGTATTTAGTGCGTCCAGGTTATTATATGACAAATCTAAGTAATGTAAATGACCAAAGTCAGAAAAAACTGTGTCCTGTAATTGGGCAATGCTATTATGAGACATATTTAGTCTGGATAAGTTAGAGAACACATATTCTGCATTATTAATTTCGATATCTTGAATTAAATTGTAAGAGAGATCCATTTCATTCAAAAGTAAAAAATTGAAACGAGAACTTAATTTAGCGGAAGTAAGCTCATTGTGGGATACATCTACATTTACCAAATTTTTCATTCCTGCTAACATCGGAAATGATTCATACTTATTATAGCTAATGTTGAGAATTTTAATTTTGTCTAAAATCCTGCTATTATATACCACAGGAGTGTATGAATTCCCGTCAGATCCATGTTCTGAATAAGTTAGTGACATATCCAAGGCGTTCCGACCGTCAATTGAAATTGAATTACATCGATTTCTATAATAACCATTGTAATACACATTCACTGCATAGTAGTTTCCAACATCAACGTTTTGTGAACATACTGCAACATCTAAGCAGAGTGTTTCGTTTATTATATGGGTACAAATAGCTTCACATACGTTGTCATTCGATTTAAGGAAAAGTATTACAATTATTAACTCTGAAAATAAAACTATCATAAGTAGCGTTATGACAATTGATCTTAATATTATTTGGATGTATTTGGTTTACCAAATTAAAGTATACTTTATTTATGTTATTGAGTACTTACTCCACAAATTCATCATTGTGTTAATGTAGTACGAGGCAATAGTTGATGTCGAAAACTCTACTGATATTGCTGGTTTAAACTCGGTTCCAGTAATCAATCAAATCACATAATCACACTTGAACAGTCAACGACATATTACAATTAATACGAGTAAACTACCAAGTAGACCGAACAACGCTGACCGCGTAAAAAAATAAAATAATGGCACTAGATGACTACGAGTTAGAATTCCGTGAGTAATGTTTTGGAGAAGCGAAAATGTTTTACACAAATTACATCATTCAAGTTATTAACAAACTGAGTTTAAAATTATTCATGTTTAAGGACCAAAAACTGAACCATATTATATAATATTCTTGGTATAGAAGAGCATTCTTAGCATAAGGTAAACGTGAAATCACTACTAAGAAGGTGAGCTGCTGTGCCCACCAATGGAGCCACTATTCTAGTTCTATTTGTTTATTTACGGTTAGATCCAATATTAAATAACGTGTTAGGTTTTATTAGCGTCGGGGCGTGACGACCTCTCTACTCACTGGTGAATTAACCTGTCACAGAGGTTATTTCACCAGTGCCATCAGTCAACCCTCTTCCTAGTGAGAGTGCCATGCTGTTGCTTTCGGGCTTCAGCCAAATGGGCAGGTACGACCGGGGCAGTACCATAGTCTCACAGAAAACCGGCGAGGTGATGCAATAGGTTCATCTTATTGTACTCGCGTTTTGTGCGGAGAGTGAGACTCCTGGAGACCAATTCTCTGGCTATCTAATACCACCAGCGGTAGGTCTTCAATGCAAAAAATCAGGTTCCGACAACGTGCTGTCCATAAAATCTTTTATTCTTTTCACATTCATAAGTTGAGCAGGCCCGTTGCATCCCCTTAATTGTGCTCCGCGCTTGTGCTCCTGTACAGTCCTAAAGTACTGTGCAAAACTGCTGGAAAATGTATGTTCCCGATCCCTAAAAAAAGCGATTGCTCTGACCCGTCTAAATATCGTCCAATAGTCATAACCCAAGGTAGTCTTGAAAATAATGGGAACCAATATCAACGGCCAGCTCCTGGGATATCTTGAGGTCCACGTCGCTGAACTAGTTACCTTCTTGTATAGCTTACACATAGGTGCGCAGATGCAACAAAAAACAAAGACAGGGGCTAGCGGTTGTTCTGAATATAGCGAAAGCCTTCGATCGGGTGTGGCATAAACCGCTTCTCTCAAAGCTTCCAGCCTACTTGCACCCCGAGAAATTATGCAACTGGAATTCATACTTTTTCGCTAATCGGAGCATCAAGATCGTCATCGACGAAGCATGTCTTACCACCAACTCTGTTAATTCCGTATCCTATGATACTCAAACTACTAAACTGTGCAGTTGTCTATCAGTAACGGAACTAACTTGTGTCTGAATTCATAGAGAGCGTTTAGAGAAGTTGTTCGGATTAATACCTGCAGCTGAGTTTATCGGACGTCGACGCAGAATACGAAATTCCACCCGTATTACATCGACATCCGTCATTCCTCAACTGAGCTGTTTTTAAGGCATTTTTGCCGCGCACCAATACCACCAGCTGCCCATTGAAGTATATCCGAACCAATTTGCCTTAGGGTCCTTTAAGAAAAAAGCGTACCAGTTTTAAAAAGTCTGGCAACGCACTCGCGAGCCCTTTGGCATTTAAAGTGTCCATGGGCATATCACTAAATCCATTTAGCGAATTAAAAATGGAGTACGGAACCAATCGTAATCAGCAGCTATACACTTTACCGATTTAACATATCTCCAGGATGTTCACTTCCCTAAAGGGTTGCCAAAAATTAAAATAATAAGTTTACTTTTTTAGCTTACTTTTACTGTAATCTTGTGATTAAGCAAATAAAATTACTTTGAAATATTTACGATACTTTAAGCGTTGTGGCATCAGAGTGTGACTTTAATCCTTGAGGTTCGTAAGTTCGAACGCCGACTGTACACAAATTAACTTTCAGTCTATGTAAATTTAATACTCGCTCGTTCAATGAGGGCAAACACTCTAAGGAATACCACCTGCTTAAGATCCAAAAAGTCCGCGGCGTGTGTCAGGCACAGAAGGTCTTCCAGACTTACCCATAAGAAAAAACAAATGATAGAGAAACTCATACGGAACTGTTCTTAAAAAATAAGAAAACTCGCTGTTTTATATACCACAATTTTCAACAGAAAATATCTCGTATCAATGTACAATTTGGCGATTTTGTTAATACGTCAGCCCTGTTTAACAATTAATGATAAGTGTATACATTGTCATTAGATACTTAGTAGTCAAACTCGTTAGTAAAATTTGATAATATATTGTTAATAATAACTAAGACAATAATTTCCAAACTGTAACACGAGAGATGAACCCAAACGTCGAGTTCGAGCCCACATTATGCACTAATAAATTATGTACGGTTAAAGAAAACTTCACAGAAGCCGCCGTATCTTATGGTAAGATTCACGGGAGTCAGCGAGATGAAGAAATTTGACGTTCCATAAAAGGTTGAATAGCTATAATAAGTAGGTAGACTTTGTTCATACAATTAATAAATTCATTAAAAAAATCTACTCTAAATAGACTCTAACAGCCTGGCCACGGGACATTCGCTGACGCGAATATTCGCGCGGTGCGAACCGCGATGCGTCTAGCGACTGAAATAAACTCATAGCAATGTACTAATCAAGCCACGCGCAACGGCGACCAGCGATGCGACCGGCGAAATGTACCGAGCGAATCGCGCGGGCGACTGACGTCGCGACGGGCGAGCGAAACAAATGCATGAATCAGTACGGTGCAAGCCACGGAGTCGAGCGGCAGTCGCGGCGAATAGAGAAGGGAATAAATAAGTTTAGTCGTGGTCGCGGCGAAAAATGAATACAGAGTTTTTTGTTACTGAAATACTGGCTAGACCAGCTATTTGGAAGTCTGGCCATCCACAGCATTAATTTAATATACCTTAATCTCAAAAACAATTTTTCAGCGGCACTTAAAATTCTATTTGCATTAACTTTTTTCTCCAATTCTGGTTGAATATTCATAAGAATATAATTGAAGGTTTCAATACTCATTCTGGTATACTCAAAAAAATAATTCTGGATATATTCTGAATTTCTCATACTTCTTGTGGAATTCTCCACAATTTCTCCAAATATTAGGTCTTGCACCAAAAGCTATTACTTTCCAAGCAATATCGAGATGATTTCGATAAAGACATTTCGCTGTCGAACTTCCTTACTGGTCGCGGCGGCAAACGTGACTGGTCCGTGGCCTGCAAACGGCCCCGCGCGAATGGTCGCCTCGCCTCCCGCATCGCAGTTCGCACCGCCGATCCCCGTGGCCAGGCCGTAAAATCTTTAGTAATTTTATTAAGTGGAAAGATTTGATTATTTGTTTGTATTGACTAAGGCTCCGAAACTACTCGATCGATTAAAAAAAAATATTTCACCTTTAAAACCCTACGTTATCCCCAAAATATATATATATAACATAGGCTATAGAATATTTTTAAAAAGTTAGGGTCTCGATGAAATTACAATAGTATGAAAAGATCAAAAAAAAAATCCTATACCGCGTACGCTGCGGAAACTATTGACAATTTACTAAATGTTACCCGTCCAAGTAACCAAAATCTATCTCTATAGTCGCTGATAGTTCTTACCTGTGTTGAAGACATATACTGATAAACTTTCAGCTTTTATAAAATAACGAAGGTCTGGCCGTCGTGAACTCTTGGTCTAATAGAGCAAAATGATTTGCTATAGTTTTATAGAATACAGCAATATTTACAAAAAAGTCCGCGATCCTATATGTCTGGGCAAAAATATTATCTATTCTCATTTAAAGAAGAGAAAATCTTTAGGCTATAGAACATCGTGCTGCGACCAAATTACATTATTTGCGCAGAACACGGCTAGTTGTAAGTATTATTAAGAGAATCAAAAGAATGGAGTTTTTTTTAATATCTAGTATATATATATATTTATATATATGATTCGCATTTCGAATCTAGATCCACCACGATGTCCACGGACGGAGCTTTAACATTCACGAAAAATACTGTCGAATTCTAAAGATTGCGTTTTGATTGGTTAAAACTTTAAAGAACACATATATATGTAATGATTTTTTAATATCTAGGGCTAATTTATACGGCCTTTCTATGACATAAATCCTTTTGTATATATTATGTTGCTTTTAAGCTATGATATAGTATATAAATAAAATTCAATACCTTGTGGATCCGAGTCAAAGATAAATGCTATAACAAATATAGATATGAACGGTTTTGAATATTTCTAAATATGGGGTGTTTAATAAAAAGTTATAATGAGTATGACATGACGCAAGTATTTTTTATTAAATTTTATGTTATTTTTGTACATATTCTCCTTTCAGCTCTTACTTTCGTTAGACTTTATATATATAACGATTAAAAAAACTTCTCCCTAATCCCCTAAAAATCGACTACCGCGACGTCTGCTGCCACATAATCTTCTAATTTAAGGCACTGTGTTCCTTTAACCGCAGGAATAGGTAAAAAGCGATAGGATCTAGCTCGGCCGACTTTGAAGGATCTACCATCAATTCAAAGCCAGATTCTTAAATGTAAACCATTGTCACTGCATGGGGATGTTTCCTCACGCCACTTTGGTATTTGTTCTGCAAAACAGTGGCTCCATGATTAAAGTATTCGATAATTACCATTATTGCCTTAAAATCCTTCGGAGTTGGAGTTGGTATTTTCCAAGTCATTGGTGTTTTTTCGTTTCTGGCTCATAATAAGTAAGTGGTCACACATTCGTTTATCTTTGACCGAATACCTGTGTGATTCCCATTTCGTTAATTCAGCAAAACTTGGCATCAAGTTAAGTGTTCATCAAATGGACTTTACTCGGTGATAGTTGGAGCGGGTTACTAGTTGTGTTTATTATTAATGGTAAGTTTCAAATTATTTAAATTCTTTTTAGTTAAGTATCTCACTCAGTATTGTAATAATCTGGTTTTATAAAGATTCACGTGTAATCAGCAAGTAATTATTACACAGCATAAAATTAGTTGTTATAAAGTAATTTCTTGGCCAAATATTATTTTAACAAAATTTATAAAGAAGCAAACCAAATTTTATAGAGAAAACTATTTATAGGTAAAAACAGTAATTGGTTCACACCTAAATAACTAAATATAAAATTTAAAAGATTTGGCAAAATTGAATTAGAAATTAAGGAACTTTTTAAAATAAAAAATAAAAAACCATTCTAATATAAAAAGCTATTTTTGTCTGTTTTTCTTTTTCAAAGCTTTTCCGTTCTATTCTTTCAGGTTTTCTTGGAAAACTCTTGTGATACAACATCATGAAGTCAGGTAAAGGCTTTAATACCTCTTTTTTACATTAATTTTTCATTCAACAACTTTTATCTTTTTAGGTAGTTGGAATAATGTCCTACGTTTCTAGACTATCACTGTACTAAACTTTTACTTTAGAAGAAATCTTCTTGCTTTAGATAGTCAAACAATGAGATACGATTTTCATTTTAATTCTACATTTCAGTGCATTCAAGTGATCATATTATACTATATTCGGGAGTATAGTAAATAATATCCCTTTCATTCCCAGTAGACATCAATCATTCAATGCTATTTTTAATGCATTTAAGAAACTTGTATCGCCTAAAGCAAAATTAACAATATTATACTGCACGTCTGTACGTACGTACGTTTATTCAATTTAGATGTGTCTTAGGGCAGGCTTATGAATGTCAAAAATGTATACAAAATTCGCGAAAGAGCAAGACTACGCCATCCGTTCGCAAAACTACCAGGAGGCCTTGTTCTGAGAAGAACGGGCAAGAAACTCAGCAAGTTTTACCCTTCCTCTACGTTACAATTATACAAAGGAAAATGTCATAAACCACAACGACATTAAAGTTACATACCTAAGTAAAAAAAAATCTGATCTGTGATTTACCACATTCACCATTACACACATATTCACAACACTTCAAAGATAACAAATCAAATTATAAGAATATAATTAGAAATATTGCCAAGCGTTTTTATCTTCTAGGTAGTCATTGACTGTGTAGTTTACACATTAAGGTTCTTTTGATATGTGTTTTGAATCTGTTTAAAGGCAGTTCCAATATTTCACTAGGAACCATGTTATAGCAGCGTACACTTAGGCCCATAAATGAAGTTTTTATTTTCTACAACCTGTAAGACGGCTGTAAAAGTTTTCCCTTATTTCTTGTATTCCTATTGTGAATGTCACTGTTTTTAAAAAAAAACTAATATTGCTACGCACATATATAAAGATAACCGTCTAATTGATAACCCTTAAGTTCCCAAGATAGGACCCACGACCTGTTTCCACGTGTTTTGTGTTTAATATAGTGTTATTCATTTTCAGGAATATTACTGATGGTCATGATAATGGCGCCGCTTGTTTGCTGCAACTGCCCCGTCGACAGAGTTCACACCTTGGATCATTGTGTGTTTTATCTCCAATGCTTTCACAATATAACTGCAGGAAGTATATCCCGGGACTGTCTAGGCTCAACTAATTACGATGTCATTGTAGATGTCACTCTTGTCGATGCTACTGACCAATTCGATACAACATCAGATCAAGAGTTTTTGTCTTTGATTACATCTCTAAAAGTATCCGGAAATTGGTCCGAAACAAAACTTACCTTCTTAGATAACATGTACAGACTCAAGGCGTTACATCTCAACAACAATAACATCAAAATGATTTACGACAGCCCTTTTCGTCATTTGACTAGATTGGAGGATTTAAATTTGTCAGGAAACCAGCTATCTCATATCGAGGAACTATTTCAATTTGACTCTTACCCAAACAAATTGAAAAAATTGTCCCTCTCACATAATGCCATCCAAGAGATACCCGGTGACACATTTTTTGAACTCACAAACCTAAAGGAGCTAGATCTCTCCTACAACTCCATTACAGAGTTATACGAAGAGCCATTTTCAAACCTGACAAATCTTGTCATTTTGAAGCTAAACCATAACAACATAAAGAATCTGAACGGCGCAATGAATAATCTTTTTAATTTGAAACACTTGTATTTGGCACACAATCATATAGAAAACATAGTAGAGCAATCAATAAAGATTATCTATCACCTCGAGACTATTGACATATCTAAAAACCAATTGGATAATTTAAAAACAAACTTATTTTCAAGACATTGGAATCATTTTGATGATCATTCGATTTGTAAAATTAAACTGTCCCAAAACCATATATCGTACGTTCCTAATGCCACGGTGGTTCCAGAGTTTAAGACACGCCTAATTAGGAATTCGCATAAACATAAAGTAATGAATATTTTCACAGAACTTGATTTGTCCCAGAACTCAATAACTCACGTGGAATTTAATGCATTCCAGTCCATCATCCAGTTAATTTCTTTAGATATATCATGTAATAGATTGATTAGTTTTACAGTCAACCCCAACGATTTACGGTACGTGAAGTATCTTAATCTAAGTAAAAACTTCCTTCAGACATTGCATTATAGTAGTTTTGCTTCTATGATCAATTTGCAGAATCTTGATTTATCTAACAACAATATGGACTTTATCCCCGATCAATCATTGATAAACAACCACCAATTGAAACTTATAAATATGACATACAACGAAATTGTAGAAGTTCGGCACATGCGTATAACATTTAACCGCGATGGCGGCGTATTAGACCTTACCAATAATGGAATTTCTGTTTTAAATCTATCACCGGGCGATGCTTACGGACTTACTATTTTGATATTACGTTCAAATAATATAACTGAACCTTTTTCGATAAAACTTAACCAACAACCGACTCTCGTTCATCTAGATATGAGCTATAATTTGATTGAAGAATTAGATGAGGAATCCTTACAGCTACCTATTACGTTAGGAATTTTAGATTTGAGCTTCAACTTGATACAAAGGATCGGGCCATCCTCCTTCCACCGAGTCGGCCATTTAAAGACACTTCGCCTATCTCATAACAAACTTGCTTCTGTGGAGTTTGGTGCTTTCGAAGGGCTGGCTGCACTAGTAAATCTTGATCTATCTTATAATAACATTGGAAGATTGGATTCGAAGACACTTATGGATTTAAAAATGTTAAGTGTCCTGTCGTTGCGGAATAATGACCTCTTCTATATAGATCACAGCAGTTGGTTCGCTCATAAGCAAAACTTAAGGATTTACTTGGATGGAAACAGCTTCTCTTGTGATTGGTTGGCTGAAGCTTTGAGTGATAATAATAATGGCTACTCTAAAATGCGACCCACTGTTTTGAAGACGACATTTACTGGACATTCTATTGAGGGAATTCCTTGTAAACAAGATGTGGGGAATTTTGTCGAGCCAAGCAAAAATTACATGATAGCTGATGAGAGGCTTCTGGTGACAAATCAGAAGATATTAGAAGCTGTTCAGGAGCAGACTTCCTTCTTAAAGAAACACATTTGGCGTTTCGTATTGCAAGACGCGGAGAGAAACGCAAAATCAACTAAGTAATCTTTATATCAAAATTATATAAAATTTATAATTAAGGGGTAAATAACACTGGTGTTATCATTTATATCATATTTATATAATAATAAATGATCCTAATTACATTTGTTTTTTATTTACTTGAATCACACCTATTACAGTTAAAGTACAATTAATAATTTGTTTTATAATCTTCGGTGAGAAGTAACAATTGAATAAATCGTGATTAATAGCCAGAGAGCTTTTTATAACTAAAGTTTCTTGTTTCCATGGCTTAATGATAACGCACGTGGCGAATATCGATTCCTAAGGAATCCATAGCTACTACTACTACTACATACTACTAATTAAGTTCTTTCAAAGCTTTCACAGTGTATCATCAAGAATATAATATACTAGCAGACCGGCCAAGCGTTGCTGTGGCTAAGGTTTTTGTTATATTACATAGTAGCAAACTATTCAAGGGAAACGGTAGGAGAACACCAGTCATGGGGACCACCATGCTTTTTTAGTGGTTATGCCATTAAATTGTAGCTTATGTGAAACGTTGGTACTTTCAACACAGCGCCGTCTGTTAGAATTGTATCAAATAATAAACAAATATTTGCAATAAAATAATATTGCGGGTATAAATTGAGAAGTAAACTACCCTATCTTTTAAGTTGGATCAAACTACACACGGTGTGCAAATTTGATTGATATCGGTTCGGTAGTTTAGGAGTCCATAGCGGACAAACAACGTGACACGTAATTTATATATATTAAGATATATACTATATATACTAATAGGTAGACGCCAGACATTCTCAATTTGTAAATAAGACATGCCAGTTTAATCCTTTTAACCTTAAAAACAAATGTTATTTGAGGTCTTGAATAGAAAGAAACATCTACTTTAGATCCGGGACTCAAACGTTCGACCACAGGATTGAAAGTCGTACGCGCCCACTTCGTTCAATGTGTAATGTAGGCAACATTACAGTTTATTTTAAAGTTTTACCAAAGTTTTATATAATTCATTTTTTTAATTTAACACAAAACAGTTTTAACTGACCAATTAATGTCCCTTTAAATGTAAGTAATTAGTTAATTATATTATTTTGACAATTTAGTGTATTTATTTTTCTAATTTATATGACAAATAAAGACATTAAGTATTAATTATTATTAATATGGGATGCTTTCAGAAACATCAAAGTCTTCAAATTCCGGGTAATTGTCGCCATAATCCACTGGAAATATTGCACCGCATTCCTCTTCTCCGACAACCTCGTCCTTACTAACATACGAAGGACTAATGTCCATCAACTCTAGCAATGCCAGGTCATTGTTAGTTGAAATCATAAACGCTATGTTGACATTCTCACTGAAAAGAATCAATTTAATTTAAAAAAAAGCTTCAGCAACATGAAACCTATTAGAATAAATTTAACATATTTTCTGTTGACGTTCATAAGTGTACTTGGTTACCTATATGGTAAAAAAACGAATCCTTTTTCTTGTGAATTACCTATATATATCTAGTACAATTATAGCTCTAAAAACTAATATTTCATATGGATTGTTTGTTTAGTAAAGCCAATTAAACTTCCAGAAGAAGAATATATCTCTTTGCCAGCATAATGTAGAAACTTATGGGAAATGTATACGCTCATGCATATGACAAATATATTGCCACATATACACTCAGCCCTGTCGGACTGGGAAGATAGAAAAATCGGCAGTCTGTAAACAGTTCACTCGCGCTGTTACTGCTCATGCCGCCGCTATTGCTCATTGGCAACAACATCGCAGCATATTACGAGAATATTTCAACTACAGCAATCAAGGGCTGAGTGAAAATATGGTAGAAATGTCGCAGTCAACTAGCATAACTAGTCGTTAAATCAACAGGCTAACCTCTTAACTAAACAGCGCCATTTAACTAGCTGCCTAAAAGATTTTGAGCCAGTTGATCAAAAAGCTAGGCAAATGACTTGGATCGATAGGCTGCTAGTTTCGGGCGCTGTTTAGTTTAAAGGCTAGGCTGTTAATTGAACGGCTAATTAAGCTACTTGGCTGCGATATAAACATTGTTTCATTACGAACTCGCTTTGAATTGCACTAATTTTTTTCATGATGCAGCCAAGGCGTTACACCAGCGCAATACTGTAGTTCAATCAAACTGATACATTTTTACAATTTCAGGGTAATAGCAGATTTTTTTCTTTTTTATAACATGTACTATGTCTTAAACTGGAATTTGGACCCTAAACAAATACATGCTCACAAAACCAACAAAGTAATCTATTCATTTGTTTGTGTGTGAGATGTGCGAAGTCCCGAGTTACATTTCCCTAGCATGCTGCGATTGCTATAATAATACTAACACATCATACGAAGAATTCAAAGAATCGTATTGCTTAACGCTGAATGCAATATGATATGCGTTGTAAGCTGTTGTTAACTTGAATATACCCATCTGAAATAGATAATAATATATAAATCGTAGGAATTTCACATATCACTTGTTTAAATTTTTTTGAGTTATAATTAAGTTCAAATAAAACCATACAAGGAATTTGATTATAAAATATATATTTCATTACGCAGCAGATTATAATTTATTCAATAGTTAATTTACACTTCCGGGATTGCTTATTAACCTAACCATGCAGTACTTTTGGAGCAATTTTTGTGTGTCTGCCCACATAATTAGTGTGCTTTTTACTCTAAATTATTATACGCTAACGAAAGATTATAGCTATTCGTACAAGTTGATATAATTAAATTTTGATGCAAATAGTCTGATTTCATATAATTATACGAGTACCTCTATAAAAATATATAATTAAATATCTAAATGAAACATTAGTGCTTTTGGATATACTGTAAACACTAAACATTCTCCTTGAATTGAATTATTGAATTCGGTTATAATGCAAAATACATGTTTTACTTTTTAGTAAAAACATTTATTTTATTTATTTTCTATTTATCTACACTACATTACAAGTAAATGAAAGGCAACTGGCGGCCTTATCGCTTGCGAGCGATCTCTTCCAGGCAACCACTGTGAGAAAAGAAAAAAACATTTTTTAAATTTAATTTAACATTTAATCGAGAGAAGAAAATTTAACATGAATACGTAAATGGACTAATACGGACATTAAACTAAAATAATTTAACTAAATAGTTAAAGAATAAAAACCGTACAGTTAACAAGAATAGAAGATAAACAAAAAATCCTAAAGCATGCATTATTACCTAAATTACTATTGATTTATTTCGGGCTAATTTGACTTAGGGACCTTCAAGAAAAGAGCGTACCTACCAATTCGTAAAAGGTCGGCAACGCACTTGCGAGCCTTCTGGCAGTGTCCACAGGCGGCGGTATCACTTATAATCCGGTGAGCCTCTAGTCCGTTTGCCTCCTCTTACAAAAAAACATGATCTTGCCCTTTTGTTGTATAATAAATTTTTTTTTAACTAGACATGATATTTCACCGCACCCGGCGAAATTACTTTTTTCTCACAAAACCTATTTTTAATGGAATTCTAAAACAGAAGAGAGAAAACCAGTTCCACGCATTTTCTTTACTTACGTGTATTATCGCCTGTCTGTATTTAGACAAGATTATCACTGCCTTATGCCTTTTTGTAATGTCGAGTAAAACCAATACGTGTGGTGGCAGAAACTCTGGCTCCGGTATTACATATTCACGGACAATCTGAACGGTGAATAAAATAATAATATTAACAATAAACTAAAAAAAAGTGCACCGGGTGGAATAAAGATAACAGTAAAAAAAGTGAAGAAGTGCAAGAGAGCAGTGCTTAATCTTCTTAATATATATAAATTACGTGTCACGTTGTTTGTCCGCTATGGACTCCTAAACTACCGAACCGATATCAATCAAATTTGCACACCGTGTGTAGTTTGATCCAACTTAAAAGATAGGATAGCTTACATCTCAATTTATACCCGCAATATTATTTTATTGCAAAATATTTGTTTATTATTTGATAATCACAATTCTAACAGATGGCGCTGTGTTGAAAGTACCAACGTTTCACATTCCTACAATTTAATGGCATAACCACCAAAAAAGCATGGTGGTCCCCATGACTGGTGTTCTCCTACCGTTTCCCTTGAATAGATTACTACTATGTAGTATAACAAAAACCTTAGCCACAGCAACGCTTGGCCGAGTCTGCTAGTTTATAATACATAAAACTAGCTGCCTCAACGAACTTCGTTTCTCCTTAATGTGATTTTACTTAGCCTACCTTTTTAGTAAATACCAATATGGAACATTTTGCTATGCTACCCCAGAGACTGTTCGGTTTACCGGAATGAAAACTTTTAGGTTTTTCTGTGATTTTTCTCTATGTAAACCTCAGAGTTCAAGGTATAAGTTCGTAACTTACAAATAATAAATAGGGCTTGATCGTAAAGGGTAGGTGTAAATTAAGGGTTGTATGTAATTTTGTATGTTGTATCATAAAATAATAAAAACAAAAATCTTTGTCTAAAAAAATCGGTTGTCTGTAAAGTTGGTTTACTGACGATAGTTGAACGTGATAACGTCATAAAAAAATATTGATGGGATGGTTCCATTTTTCAAAAAAAAAAAAAAATTAAATTTTATTTGTTTGATAGGTATTTTGTATGGATATAGAGAAGGAGGTAAATGGAAATCACAATTGAATTGATCAAGTTACATTTATTTGTACGCATAAATACAATTATGTCAATTTTAAATGTAACGCCTCAGAGCGAGGTAACGCCTCAGAGAGAGGTAACGCCTCAGAGCGAGGTAACGCCTCAGAGCGAGGTAACGCCGCATGAGTCATGTTTTTTCGTGCGTGCAGCCGGCTCCATCGAATTATAAGACGTTGTCACGTCAAAAATAAAAATAAAAGTTTAGTGGTGGACCACCCTTATCACTTAAGAGTTTGAAAGATAGATAGTAGCCGATTCTCAGACTTACTGAATATTCATACAAAATTTCATAAGAATCGGTCGAGCCGTTTCGGAGGAGTATGGGAACGAACATTGTGACATGAGAATTTTAATATATATAGAGATAATAATGCAAAAAAATCTATGAAATCTTAATATTAATAAAGAGAGAAAAGAGTAAAAGAAAAGCAAACGTAAAAATAAAAAAATAATTATTAAAAGTAACTTGAAAGCTCGCATCACCTTTACATAGACAAAGTACGCCTAATGGAATGTGAATGGCGAGTAATATCATTTGTCCATTCAACTCAATAAAAAAAATTGATTCCATCATTTATTAAATCTTTCATTATTGTAATTGCTTTAATGTAATGGTTGCAGCTTCATACAAAGATTTTGGAAAACAAAAAATCCTTGGAGATTTAGAAAAGTGACGGAGAGTTCACTTCTCGTCCGTTTGAGAACTGGCAGTAAATTTAAATTTAGAACCATTATTTTTCACAACTATTATTTTTATTATAGTTGTACATTTTCATGCATAGAGTTATTGAGACATAAATGGCTGATCACCACAGATGAAGACACAGGTACATACATATTCAAAGTTGAGAACAGAATAGGTAACGCTTTTTACAATTTTAATAGTCACTTTATACCTTGGGAAACAGTATAGCAAGTCCATTTGTCTTGGCAATGTCATTTGAGGGTGCATAAAACCCTGGAATAAGAAGACCGGGAGGAGGAAAGTACTCATTCTCGTCTTCTGAACTAACGGATTCATCTTCATCAGGCAACACCTAATATGGAATGTGTTTCGCTTTATTTTCAATGAATATTTCTATCAACCCTGGCTAACACCGAAACATAATATCTAAGCAAATGTGATATTTTTGGTGACCGTTCCATGAGCCAATGGCAGACATATTTCGGCGTCTATTTATTTAGTTTTCAAAAGCATAATTTTATTAATAAATCACACTATTCCGTTCCTTCATGAAACACTTTATTTAGACAATTTTACTAAAACATACAAACTTAACAAAAACGTCATTAATTGTAGAACGGGTCGTTGTCTTGAACATGTAATTGGAGATCGTTCATCATCTTTATATAAAAAAATTGTTTTATTTTTATATTCTGAACTATCTGTCAGGTTACAAAAACCATTTCACAGCTGATATTCGATTTACTTGAACAATCTAGAGACTTCGCGGGTTTTTGAACATAGATGAAAATGATACTAGCGCGTTTAATTGGACGTAGTTATACAAAAATGTTCCAATCCACAACTAGTTGAAACCAATATAATTACATTTTTGTGGTTTGACTCGGCATTTTTTTGTTTGAACTAGGATAATTCAATACTGTAGGTTTTATTCAAGTTTTTTTATAATGCTGTTCTATCATAATAGTATTATTTTGAAATTGCTTTTTGAAATATAGGTATTTTGGAAAAATCGTTTTGGAACGTTTTGGAAAAAATATTTTTTGTGTGAAGTAGCACTCAGTATATTTTGTAAAAACGTTCCACATTTTTTAATTTTAAATAAATACGAATTGTTACGATATAAGAAGGATTTATTGTGAAAATCTTAACACTAACAAGAAATCGGTTAAAATAAAAAATCTAAATCATCAACTTTTGCAATGAACGAAGCAATGAATGAAATGAAACAAAAATATTTTAGAGAATAACTTGAGCAGTGAGCACACAATAAGTTTTCAGCAAATATAAAAAAACTTAGTTAAAAAAAGCTGATGATTTATCCATCAATTATCTCGAAGTCAGGCTCCCCGCCAAACCCATCAAAATCATCCATAAACTCATCCGAACTTTTTAATTTTTTATAAAACTGGACACAGTCCTCGGGTATAAACATGTACATTGATTCTAAATCGGCTAACTTAGCTGGTGCGATCGGTTTTCCGTTAGGCCACAAAATAATTAAATCATCTCTCTTAATTTCTCTGTTCTTTTTGTCAATAAGCAATTCCTTAAACTCTTCATCAAACGAAGTTCTCATAAATATTGAATATAGTTTATTTTTTTCTATTTTTATTTCTTTGGCATTAAGCCAGCTTACTTTACTTTTGTCACTAAATTTTTTTCTGTTCATTATATTTTTTTCAATCTTTTCAGTTCCATAAAAATCTGCTTTCTCCATTCTTTGTACTTGCAACGGTTTCTTTTTTTTAGCATTTTTAAAAATATCTATATACTCTTCGGCTGTATATATACGCTGGTGATGTTTTAAAGCAGTTTCAATTTTAGAGAAGTCCGTATCGTTAGGTAAAAAGGTATGCCCAGATTCAAGAAAGCGAAATGTAATGCTTTCTAACGTTGGGTGACAACTTAAGACAGTTTTTAGTAAGAGAACTATTTTAATGTTCCTGTTTTGCCCTCCGCAGCAATCGCTCCAGAGTATAAGATTCTTAACAGACGGCTGTATTTTTGTTTTAATATATTTCACTAAACATGATCCTACCTCCTGCGCCCCTCTACCCGCTTCACCTTCGACCCAAACATAGCAGTGTCCTACGTCATCAGATGCAGAGTGGATACCACTATTGTAAAGCCACAGTTGCCTTTTATAAAAGGCAACATTTGTTGGTATTCGCGGTAGTGGCAATGTCTTTTCCAAATCAAAGGTTAAACACTCAACATCCGGTATGTTTCTTGCGTCTATAAAATCTTGATTCATCTGATTTCTTAACATTTCTGCTCTTTCTAAATGTTTAAGCTTCTCAGTTTTAGCATCTTCTTGTTCCTGTTCAGTTTTGGCATTAGAGATTTGATTGAATAATTGGTCACACTTATTGCAAGTATCTTTTTTCAATTTTTTACATTTTAAATTAAAATCAGCATAGAAAATTTTTTTCAATGTCGCAAAGGAGGCGCATTTGCGATCGATACCATACATTTCTGCGTGTTCTTTTGTATATATATCATAAATTTTATTTATTGTCATACCGGGTCGTAAATATAAAGTGCCACTGTTATTATTTCTTCGATAATGTGACTCGTATTTCGGAAGATTATTAATAATATCAACAATGAATTTATGATCCTCATCTGTCAACTTATTTATGTCACCTCTATGTATTCCCCTACCATTCGCAATAGGTTCGCCACTTCTACGTTTTTTTAATGACACTGTGACTTTTTGAGTCGTTATTTGAAAAGTTTTCAAAAACATATCGCGACATACCTGTACGTCTTTGATCTTATAGACACGATAGAATTGTCTGGGCTTTTTTCTTGCACCGGGTACGTTACACATAGTGTAACTACGTTTTTTATTATATTCAGTGACACAAGATATTATGTAAAGCACCTGAGCGTTAAAGGAACCTAGTTTAACAAATTTTTCAAACTCTTGTTTTCTAACCTCTACTGAAATTAAGTCAGCACATTTTTTTAAACACTTGCACCGATAGTCTACAAAAACTTTAGGCTTAATTATTTCATTTTTAGTTGTTGTATATTCTATATTATTATATTTATTACGTTTTCTCTCATCACGACTCTGAGGATATTTACGTTTACGTCCTTTTTTTGGTCTACCAGATTTTACAGTATCATCATCATTTATTACGGGTACTGGTTCTATTGGTATATCAGTAGTTGATGTAACTTCGATATCGTTATGCTGTTCTTCTAATGACATTAAATTATTATTACATGCTTCATTATTATCCATAGATGAACAAGAAGTAGTTGACTCGCTTATGTTAACACCTCGTTCATGACATATGTTAAAATTCGGATCCCTAACACTATCATCGCTATCGAAATCACATACGATATCCTCATGATGTGAAATATCCCTATTGTCTAATAATATGTTCTGATGTTCACTTAGTGTGTTAAACAGTTCTTGAGTTTCTGGGGACATCAGTCGAAGTGGTGACGAAGATGGCGTTTCGGTTGAACATCGTGGAACAGACACAATATTATCTAAATCTGACTGTAAAACACCTGAATTAGATGGACCTGAAACAACACCTTGTCTGTCATTAATCATCATCTCACTTTTCCTGGATCAAATTAGTTAAACTCGAATCAGTATATATCTTATAGCTACTTGTAATCATATATTATAATGTAGATTTGAATTTAAGTTCAAAAATAAAAAATAGCATGGATAAAGTAAAAGCTACCTGGAAAATAATAAATGAAGAATCAGGTAAAACGTCTGACAAACGAACTGATTATATGTTAAAAGTTAAAGGGAAGTTAATAAAATCTGACCCAGAGGTAGCTTCTTCTTTTGAAGAGTTCTTTACAAATGTACCACTAAATACGACCAAGTCCCTAGATTCTTCACCTGCTGCTGCAATCTCATTGCTAGAAAAATGTGTACCTGAATGTAATATTAAATTTCAGTTTAAACATATAACTTGTAATGATATCGTTAAAACTTTTAAGCTTATTAATTTAAAAAAGTAAAGATATATGGGGTATGTCAACAGTCATTTTAAATTCCGTTATTAATGTAATAAGCTCTGAATTGTCTATAATTTTTAACAGATGTATCGATTGTGGAGTCTTTCCGGACGAAATGAAATTAAGTAAGATTACACCGTTGTTCAAGGCCGGTAGTGAGTCTGATCCGTCAAACTTCAGACCTGTTTCCGTGCTCCCTGCGTTGAGCAAAGTTTTTGAAAAGATAATGCTAGACCAGCTTTCTTTACATTTTAATAAAAATAAACTCTTACATAATAAACAGTATGGTTTCACTAAGGGTCGCTCCACAATCGATGCCGGTGTGAAGTTGATTTCGGACATATTTAACGCCTGGGAAGAATCATATGATGGAGTCGGCGTCTTTTGTGACCTGTCAAAGGCCTTTGACTGTGCTCATCCTGATATACTCGTTGGAAAGCTTCAACACTATGGCGTTGATGGCAAAGCTTCCAGCCTGATGAATTCATATTTAAAGGGAAGGATCCAAAGAGTTCATGTCAATGGAGTCACCTCTCCGGGTTCGCAGGTATCAATGGGCGTCCCCAAGGATCGATTCTCGGGCCTTTCTTATTTCTGATTTACATAAATGACCTCCCATTCTTTGTCAACGAAGTTCATGAGATGGTATTGTTTGCTGATGACACTTCACTTCTATTTAAAGTGAATAGGAATAACGTATTATTGGACGATGTAAACAATTCTATCTCTCGTATAGTTAACTGGTTTAATGTAAATAACTTATTGCTTAATGAGAATAAAACAAAATGTATTAGATTTACAACTACTAGCGTAAAGCGAGATATTGGTAACCTGAAAATTAAGGACAGTGAACTAAACTTTGTTGACAAAACTGTTTTTCTAGGCATAACAATAGATAGTAAACTCCAATGGGGCCCACACATAGAGACTCTTTCGAATAGGCTGAGCTCTGCAGCATATGCAGTAAAGAAAATCCGACAGTTTACTGATGAGGACACGGCTAAAATTGTGTACCATAGCTACTTTCATAGCGTTATGTCGTACGGCATTTTACTGTGGGGTGCTGCTGCAGAGGTTCAATCCATATTTGTGCTGCAGAAGCGGGCTGTTCGGGGTATTTGTTGTGTTTCTCCGAGGGAGTCGGTACGGAATAAGTTTAAGGAATTAAATATTATGACACTATCTGGTCAATATATTCTTGAAGCCTTGTTGTATGTCCAAAAAAATATAAACGATTTTAAAACAAATGGTGACTTTCACCAGTATAATACGCGAAATAGAACTAATTTGAGTGTACGACCAACCAGGCTCCAAAAGATAAACCACTCCTTATATGGAAATTGTATTCGTTTTTACAACAAGCTCCCAAGCGAAATTAGAGAATTATCACTAAATAAATTCAAAGCCCTCGTTAAACGAAAATTAATCAACAAAGCTTTTTATAAATTTGAGGACTACTTAAATGATCCTAATCCTTGGGATTGAATTGCTCCAGTTCAAACAATTTGTATGACAATACTTGGCGATTAAAAAGAGTGGCGGAAAGTTTCTTGCCAGTTCTTCTTACCCGCTCTACGCCCTTGACTTGCGAACTGGTAGTAAATGTAAATTTACGATTAATTTAACTTGACGATTCAAAAGTGTACTTGGTTACCTACTTGAATAAAGATATTTTGAGTTTGAGTTTGAATCAAAATTGCGATACACCTACCTTCTGATAAACTGATGTTCTTGTTAGTGGTTTTCATAGAAATAAGTGGAGTAAGAGGTGAAAAAGGCGGTGGAGAAATGGATCGTTGCTCATTTGTGTATGGAGTAACGGGATTACCTACAAACATAGAAAAAAAACAATCATTATCAGAATCTGTTTCTTTGTTATTGAACAACAACCATCTAAACATTTACATTATTTTTCGTAGATTTAGCTGTATTCAAGTATTTTTAATAATTTTGAAACAGTGGTATCTGCGATTAGCTCTTTCAACCAAACAACATAAACAAATTCTTCAGCTTTATACTATTAGTTAAATATACTTACTGTGATGATTTGCCACTAGATCTACGGTATTCAATTCTGTTCTGCATTTGTCTATAGATATTATGGTGTTTCGGAGATCCATAAATTTTTTTCGTTTAGCTAATAGCTGTGCTAAGGACTGAACCTATATATAACAAGAAATAAAATAAATAAATATTGGACGTATTTCACATTCACGGTCGGTTAGCTCCAAACTACACATATCTACATATGTATTACATAAATACAAAATATATCATTTCGATACATATTGTACAACCAGCTAACAATGCGCTCATCAGACCCCAGTAACAATGGTAATTAATTAGGTACCATTTGGTTAAAATAGGTATTCTAACCAAAAAATGTTGATTTATCACGGCATTATAAGCATTTTTTATATGGAACTGTGCATCTACCATAAATATTTGATCGAAGGTCTAAAGTCTAAACAGTCAATAAATACTTGGGTATTATTATGTATCAAGCCTATTGTAATACACGCATAACGGTCAAAATGAATACCAGCTAGTCTTACCTATTCTATTTAGTAATTGTATTGCAATAAAACTTACCCCGCTTTCGTTTTCTTCCATTTTTATTGCGATAATAAATCCCCAAAACAGTAACTCAAACTAATTAACGAAGCACAACACAAAATATTCCTTATTGATATTACTTAATAATAATAAAACACGAACGACGAATCATATTTTGTTCAATGTAAAGCCTGACCAATGACCGGCAAATTGTAAATAACGTACGAAAATTTGAATTTCGCCGGCTACCGTGGAACATTCAATGAAACATTATTTAATTTTAACGAAACAATGTTTTATTTTTCGGATTTTTAAAACGATACTATAACATTGGAACATTAATGTTGCAATTATTTTTCATTCTTAAAAAAGATTCAAAAGCATAGAAACATTATGTTTTAAGAAAAATAAATATTTTATATTTTTTTATAATGTTCCTAAAGTATTGGAACAGTGTTTTCAAAAAAAATCATTATTTCACAATATTGTGTAAACGTTCCAAAAGAATTGGAACATTATTTTCAAGAAAAATGAATATGTTGTAATTTTGATAAAATGTTCCAAACGTATTGAAACATTATTTTTAAGAAAAGAGACCTTTTTATAGTTTTGTTAAAACATTCCAAAAGTATTGGAACATTCTTTTCAAGAAAAGAGACCATTTTATAATTTTGTCAAAACATTCCAAAAGTATTGAAACATTGTTTTCCCGGTGAAATAAAATAATATTGTTTATTAAAATGTTTCTTGCGGATTAATACATTTTTTAGGACTTGCATATTACATTAATCTGACAAAGTGTGGGTTGGAACGTAATGTCAAAATAAAATACTTAAAACTGTCACTTGAGGACTGAAACAGATTAATGAAACAAGTAGTAGATGTAAAAATACGCAGATCTGTATATTTAACTCATTTTAGCATAACATGTGGATTGGAACATTTTTGTATAACTACGTCCAATTGTGATTGGACAAGGGTATGACGCACTACGTCGCGTGTCAACGCCTATTGGATTAGAGATACTGTTGACCAATCTCAATATAACAGAACGCACACATGCGTGAATCACTACGTTTCGTCTTTCATTTTAAACTCTATCTCTTTGATTCAAACTATCTATTAAAGTGGTTGTGTGAAGTTTTTGAAATTCCATAACAAACATTATGAATTTTTATATTCAATTATTACCTCAGGTATCATAATATCCACCTTTTCATCGTCAGGTTCTTGTTTTAGTTTATCCAAAGCTAACAAATTCTGAAATTTAATAACACAAGAATAACGAAATAAGTACTATATATATTCGGTAATCCGCTTTTGGACAGTTATTATGCTGTTTGCGTTGTCGGCCTTTTGAAGTGCCCTCAGTAAAATTGGTTCGGAAATAATGCGATGGGCAGATACACGGAGGTGTATGGCAACATTCTGCCTTTACATCTGATGATAGAAAGTGGTAATAATGGGACACCTGCTCAAAGCTTACTAAAAAAATAGGGATTACTGGCATTAATAACATCGTACATATATTTTATTCTTCTTGACATACAAGTTAGCCAGTCGACGCACATACTCGCAATTCATTTTTAAGTTTAAAGCTATACAAGTAACAAATACTTATGCTATAAGAAAGATTTAAATGAGTTCAAAGCTCTCGAAAGCTAATAAGGAATTTTATTAATCAATAATTTAATGGTCTCAAAGTCACGTACCAATACGTATTAAGTCAACCTTAAACAGCCTACTAACCCCAGCCTTTAAAAGCTCTAATTTCCGTCGCTCTTTCTCAAGTCGTCTAGCTTCAATAGCGTCCTGAATAGCTTGGCGAGCTAATCGTTGCATCTCAGAGAGGCGACGAGCTCGCTTTTCTATTGCTTCTTCCTGAAATTATGTTAGAGGGTTAATTATTATACTTGATTAGTATGAGCAGTGTTGGCCTAGTTGATAGAGTGTGACTCTAATCCCTGAGGTCGTGGGTTCGAATTCTGGCTGTGCACCAATGGACTTTCTGTGTTCGCATCTAACACTTCTTTGTAAGTCAAGGGAAACATCGTGAGGAAACCGGAATACCTTAGACTCAAAGACGACGGCGTGTGTCAGGCTTAGAAGGCTGATTGATGATCAGAAAAACAAATGATCACGCAACAGATACAGAAATATTAGGTTCAGCCTTGCGATTCTGTAACTCACTTTTCGAACTCACACAGCGGTTTTCGCATCGGCGGCCGCTCTCAAATCAGTCGTGAAGCAGTCATTTTATGATTTGGCATTCTGATAAACAATAAACTACAAGCTCCCACCTTTTCAGAATGCCAAATCATAAAATGACTGCTTCACGACTGATTTGAGAGCGACCGCCGATGCGAAAACCGCTGTGTGAGTTCGAAAAGTGAGTTACAGAATCGCAGGGCAGGACTGAGAGGAGCGCCACTATTATTTTAATAAAATTGTTTATAAAAATTAATTTGGAAAAAGCCCTGTTCATGCGAGCGCGCCTTTTAACACTACGTCGTACATTTAAATCCTAGTATCCTAGTCTATTTACAACACTTAAGGTGTAAAATCATCATATTTAGAAATGAAAAAATTGGTATAATCACACCGTTTTAACTAAAAAACTCTTTTTGTCGTTGTGTAAATATAATTTGATGGAAAGAAGAGACGATGGACTGTTTAAGTTAGAAAGAGGTTACTCAAGTAACAGCATACAATATACTTAATTGAAACATTGATTTTCATTTAATTTAAATAACGGAAAACACGCGGTCATCGGAGCCGGCATGATTTTACATATTAATTGTAGCATATGACCTGTTTTCTTTGTCTTTCCTCAAGCCTACGTTCCCAGATCTCTTCTTTAGTAGGACTGAAAGACTTGTATTTATCGAAAGCTGTCTGCTGTTCTTCTTTTGTATCCGAAGGAGTGATATCTTCATAAAGTATTTTACGAACTAAAGCTAAAAATTCAGTATTATATAAGTATCTACTAAATTATCGCTAGTAATTTTATAATATTGAGCAGGGTGGACTGTGGACCTAGTGGTTTCAGCGTGCTACTCTCATCCCTGCCCTGCGATTCTGTAACTCACTTTTCGAACTGACACAGCGGTTTTCGCATCGGCGGTCGCTCTCAAATCAGTCGTGAAGCAGTCATTTTATGATTTGGCATTCTGAAAAGGTGGGAGATTGTAGTTTATTGTTTATCAGAATGCCAAATCATAAAATGACTGCTTCACGAATGATTTGAGAGCGACCGCCGATGCGAAAACTGTGTGAGTTACAGAATCGCAGGGCTGAGGTCGTAGACGGTTGACGTCGGTTGTATGTTTAAGACCCGGGTGTGGATTTTCTATGTGCGAAATACATGTTTTTGGTAAAGTAAATGCGGAAATCGGCGCGTCTAAGAACAAAACATCTACAGCTTGTATCAGCTTTCACCTGTTTGCCTGCATAAAGGAAAAACTACAAAAGTTCCGTTTCGTATAAGCAATAAAGTTCTTTATGGGTTCAACACTTCAAAAATTCCCGCTGAAAGGACAGGTTTACAAAAAAATAGGAACTCTTAAAAATTATAACACCACTTACTGACAAAATGCTTATCCAGATCAAGTAGTCTAAAGCATATGGCCAGAGCTGGTGATGAAGTCAACATGTGCATGGAAGCTTCATTTATGTCTGCGTCTCCGGCGTACAGTATATCTTCAGCTGTAGTTCGATCCATATTTATTTCTTCGCGTCCTACCATTATTATATCTGCAAATGTGGTCAGTCAAGTTAAGTAACAGAAGTCGCAGCCAGACTTATGATGGGTCATTATTACTTAATCAGATCCGTCGTATATGACTACTATTATGACTACTTAAACCCACTCAATACGAGCGACAGATACCTTAATATATGGTAATTAAAAAAAATCGTTACTTACTATTCAAATCCCAACGTTCGTAAAGTTCTGGATGTGCGTGCTTTGCATGGGGCCAGTACAGCACAAAGTTTAGCTGTTGCAGGTGAGGAATCATCAGCTCGGCCCGATGCCGTTTTCGAGCCGCTTGCCGTGCTGCTCGACAGGCTTCTTGCTGTTGAATTTCAAGCTGCTTGTCTTCGGTGTACTTGGCTAGCCATTCCTACGCAAGTATGAATGATACTATATTTGGAGATTCAAAAAGTCTGATTAATATACAACATTCGTAGTATATAACCAAAAAAACCATACTTTGTAATAGAAAAACATTTTACTTTTTTAATGAGATTTCTTTAAAACTCGCTAGTAGATAAAATTAAAATGCAATATAGGCATAAAAGAAACATTCCAATTGGATTGGAAATAAGGAGGGAGCTTGTAGTTTATTGTTTATCAGAATGCCAAATAGCAAAATGACTGCTTCACAACTGATTTGAGCGCGACCGCCGCTGAAACCGCTGTGCGAGTTCGAAAAGTGAGTTACAGAATCGCAAGGCTGTACTTATACAAATACTATATTACAAGTAACGATACGACTCCAGACTACTTAGTTGAAACATAGAACTCTGTAATTACCTATATAAGCATTTTGTTTTAAAAAATATAGTATTGAAGTTTATTTCCTTACAAGATCTTCCGGCATGGGTTCACTAATCTCATAAGTCGGTCGCTCAAAGCTGATACCCTTCTGGTATTGTTTGTACAGATCGATTTCTCTCTTAGCCATCTCCGCAAATCTTATGTTGTCCACACCTCGGAAAATCGACGTTATTCTTTTGTTCTGAAAGATAAAAAACTCATTTGTACCACAAGTAATATGGCAGATAAAAAATATATAGATATCATTGTGTTTGTTTTGTATAATCTTTTGTTTTGTGCTGGGAGCCCTGATACAGGTAGGTATAATTTACAAAAAGGTTCCTCAAAATAAAAGCTGTAATGCATGTCCTTATAACAAATAAACGCATTTTGTTTTAAGTTAATGTTGTTGGCTTTAGTAATAAATAGCTTGAAGTAATGTAGGGGACATTAGTGCGTATTTTACCAAAAGGCGTGTACGCGATTCTTGATAAGGTTCAGACCAGAGTGGCTTAACTACTAACTAGAATATTCAAAATATGTTCTAATAATTGCGTGCGACTCTCATCCCTGTGGTCGTAGGTTCGATCCCCGGCTGCGCACCAATGGACTTACTTTATATGTGCGCATTTAACATTCGCTCGAAACATTGTGAGGAAACCGGCTTGCCTTAGACCCAAAAACTCGACGGCATGTGTCAGGCTCTGAACGCTGATCACCTACTTGCTTATTATATTATATTGAAAAATTAGCATGAAACAGATTGAGGAATAGGAAGGCCAGACCAATAAGAGGTTGTAGCGCCGCTGATTTTTTTAAATTTATTCCCAAGGTCAGCAGATTTTCCAAATTCCTTCAGCAAAAACAAACCAAGGAGTTAAGGCCTCTCTCATTCGTATACTATATATTATAACGGATTAAACAGTACTTATCCGAAGCTGGATATATTCGGTAGTGGCCTGATGAATTTAAAAAAAAGCATTGTTAAGTGTCTAATCCGCTGTTCTGCTGGTATTTTTTTTGCCTAACAATAAGCAAAACATTACTGATATATATTTTTTGTAACATTAATGTTTACCAAAATTGTCATATATTTTAGAAAAGATAGCATATACTGTAGATATAGGATTATGTATGATGTGGATGTCCCTAAATAAATAATATAACATTACTTATTATTCTAAAACCTTACCAATATAAATAAATATACGGGTTGGCTTTGATATCTAAACCTTCGTAATGCATCTACTTCATCAGCTAAGACCTGTAAACTTAGTAAATATAATTATAGTTGAATAAAGTCAATTAATTCAACTATAATTACCTATATCTAACACAAATAAGGTTTTTTCTATAGAATAGAGAGGAAGGTGGGGCAGGGCAGGGTAGGCAGTCATCGCAGCCCATGGACACCCATTTTAGGAGGTGCGTTGCCGGCTTTTGAGGGAGGGGAATTCCTTTAAACAATTGGAAAAGGAAAGACCCCGTAGTCGATTCCACAGTTCGCAAAAGAAAGTGTCTTGTGAAGCGGACCGTGGAAGGCTTCCAGCCATCACGATGATGCGGATGAAATTATTTTTTTATCAACAGCAGATACAAATTTTTTTTCGAGATGACATAAAAAAACGAGTGGAGCATGACGTACAGACCCGAGCGGTAACGCAAGTTCCGCTCTGTACATCGAGAGCAAACAATGTATACGGCGAGAGAACGTTGAGATATTTGCTACCGCGGCTAATAAATAGTCTACCCAATCAGATATTAGATTGCATAACGCCATAAATAGTAAATTAAAACACTACTTTTTTATGCATTTCTCGCGCTCCTAAACAAGACTGCTATGTTTACATTAATACAATCCACAGCGGTTTTCTAATATAACATATTATTGTGATTATATTATATAATTTTGCATAATAAAGAAATTTAAAAAAAACAATACGGGAGATAATTTAAAACAAATCTTTTAATTTAGAAACATTCTATAAGTGTCTGTGATCCGTTTTTATATCTTCATCGTACAGTAGATAAGCACTTAGACAGAAATGTCATGTGAATTGCCAGAGTTTTATCGCCCTAGTTAAGATTGGTCGTATACTACCCTCTTAATTTATAATAAAGTAGGTAATCAAAATTAATTGAAAAATTCACCCTCAAAAGAACCAGTTGACCATCGCTCCAATCAAGCTTCATCCTGACAAACAGATGGTCCAAGGCAGAACAAGGTCCTGAGAATTCACAAAATACTTCGACACCTAAACAGTAATCACAACACTTGATATCTTTATCTGTAGTAAATCATTGGCTTTATAATTATTCCATGACATAATACTTATATAGCAAGAAAGTCTATGTATGAAAGTTTTTACAACAAAAGGATTGCAACTTCTGTTTACCAAGAACGATAAACATTCGTAACATTACAGTATATAAATAATAACGTTATATTACCATCTATATATATAAAAATGAAACCCGTTTTCCGTTGTCATGACATAACATGAAAACGGCTTGACCGATTTGTCTGATTTTTTTTTATAATATTCCTTGAAGTACGAGGATGGTTCTAGAGAGAAAAATTTAAAAAAATTGAGTGAAAAAGTCTAAAAACAACACTTTTCTATTTCCCATACAAAATATTCGTAATAATACTTAAAAGTCAATTTTAACTTTAATACCATATCATAAAGTTCAAATGTTAGTGGAGGGGTTCCGGGAAGGTAAATTTTTATTTTTTGATATAATGATAATTTGTTGTCTTATCAACTTTCTTTTTTTATCTTACTAGCTAGACCGGTGTCCAAAATAGCAGAATAAGTATTTAAAAAATAAAGAATCGACTGTTAGGCGGTACGAGGTTCGCCAGGCCACTAGTAATAAATACAATATTTTTTAAATTACGCGAGTTAAGTTCGGTTGCAGTTGTAGTGTGGATATTCAGATATATGTTAAATGAAACACTTTGTTTGAAGCTGGGTATTGATTGGCTTTAATTGTTTATAACATGAGCTTATAACTAAAATAATATTAAGTGGGGTTGCGACGCTGGATTAACAAAAAGTAACTTGACTTATTGAAGAGTTCGTAAATATATTATTGGACATTATCGAAAACGAGAGAATGTTAAATTACAATGAATAATATGAGTGTGGTAAAGACTAAAGGGCTCATATTGGCTTCAAGTGTGCGATGATTGTTTACATTTTGTTTACGCTTAAAATTACTAGTTATTAACTAAAATACATATATGTTACTTAACTAATTGTTAGGTTAGGAGACCTTGCAGGAACATTGAATACACTTTATATATTATGTATCAATAATGTCGGGCTAGCTGTGTGGTGAACATCAGCTACGTAAGCAAGTTGGAAAGTAGGGTTTCCAACTCGGAACAGTTACTATTTTTCTTGGAAGTCAAACGTTAGACTGCTTTTAGGGGTGAAAAAAAGTAAAAGTGATTTTGTCTCAAGCCTCAGAGATTTTGGAGGGGTTCGACTCCCAGTAACAGATAATACACAATACTTACAAATTATTCTATCTAAGTTATGTTCAAGCATGTAGTCAAACTCCCTTTGATTGTTTATATCAATAAATAATTGAATTTGTTTCTTTTTAGCCATGTTTTAGGTTTTCGTGCAGTATATACCTCTATTAACAATATATAATTGACATGAATGATTTCACGGTGGTCATGACTCATGAATGTACTATTTTTGAAGTGAAACTTGTTTAGGCGCCTGAGGGTAATTTTTTTACGGAACGTCATGAAGATGTGCAGCGTTTTTGTCGAAGAAATGGGAGAGAGCGATTGAGACCGATTGATAGAGAGTGAGAAGGGCGAATTACCATATAGAAATTCTATTTTTAAAATTAAAATTTCGTAAAGAGAATTTATGAAATATTAGTTTTTTATATTTTATGCAAAATAATTTATTGAAATCTCAAATGACAATTAATTGTAAATTAAAATGCCACATGTTTCTATTATCGAAGAAATAAATTTAAAAAATTAAATTTATAATTTGTATTAATTTTCGACACTTAATATTTTAATGACAATTAAATTCATAAAATTGCTAACATATCTTCATTTTCCCTCCCTGTAAGTCTCGGAAATCTAAAGTTTTAGATTTGTATAAATATGAACAAAAGTTAAAGATTAGTTTGCCAAAGAAGTTTCACTTCTGACACGTGTACTTTGTACCAACCATAGTACCAACGCACTTTTTTTTAAATTATAACTATACTAGAAATATATAGATTATACATGCCCAATGCTTAGTTATTACAGTCCACTGTTAGTCAAATCACACACTTCGGTCTTCTGAGCGTAGTTTCAAAAGACTAATTTGTTTTGTTCGTAACTTAATTAAAGCGTGGAATTATTACAGTTTTTGTAAGTTTTTTTGATGGTTTTAAAACTATCGAAAAGGAATGTGTTTCTCAAAATTCCCTTTTTTCTTAATTCTTCAAATTAAGCATTGTTTAAGCGCCACCTTTGTACATAATAGCGAATGTATTGTTGACACTGATAGCGCTTATTCAAAATAGATTTTAAAATTTTGTATTTAATATTCGAATGGATGATTTTACTACAAGAAAAATTAGATTTTTATTTTATAATAGCGTCGAACCCACATACAAAAGTTAGTCATAACATTTTGTAATGTGGCAAACTCATAGAAATTTATGGAACAGCAGCTGTCAATGTCAAACCGCCATATTGAAAATTTTAGTAATTCAGAAATTATCGTTTGCGATGGAGTCATATTTTTTCTCTAAAAATATTGATAGTGAAACTGTGGAAAATTGTTCGAAATTATGTCATTTTCGTGTTGCTTCTCAGTCCGTTCGTGTGCATTACAAAAAACTATTGTTTGTTTGACAAAATTCGCCTGAGAATATTGTCGGTTGCTAAATCTCGTCGATTCGGGAGACATCTTGTGATTGTAAAGGCGCAAGTAGCCTGTCTGATTTTGGCTTTCACGTGAAAAGCTAGCATTTGTATCGGTGCTTCAAAAGTCCGTAACCATGGACGTTTCTTGGGGTGTGTATACCTTACTTTCTGTGAATATTAAAAAGGAGTTTTAGTGTCGTCTTTAAAGTGAATGTGGATTTTTTCTAGACGCAGATAACTTCGAGCCCAAACTTCCGACCACGTTGGCGACTTCCAATAAATGGGAGGGCGAAGACGAAGATGATAATGTCAAGGTATTATAAACTGTTGCCAAGAAGTGCTATAATGTTTATTATATCGATATAATTCAATATCAACTTATGTTAGTGCCAACTTTCGCTCATAACCTCAAACGATTGCGTATGTGTTGACGTCAGCTTATTTTGCAGGAGAGTTGGGAAGATGAAGAAGAAGAAAAGAAAGATGAAGAAAAACAGGAGATGACTCCTGCCCCTGCTAAGCCTAAAAAGAAGATACAAGATAAAATAGCTGAAAAAGAGGTATGTATTTCACTTTGACCTTTACCATTTGAATTGATAAGAGCATTAACAAGCCTATACAGGGGTGAATAAATATAACATAAACTGTTTAAATGTGGATTGTCATGCATTATTTAAAAAGCTACCTGATATAAGATAATATTATTATTTAGCCTTGAATAGTATGACCTTCTAACACATGCTATTAATTATGTGTAAGTTATAATGTTCTGGTTAATATACCTAACATTTTCTGTTGAATAAAAACAGCTTCTTTGTGATAGCTGCTGGTATTATAAAATATCCCCATCATGAAATTCATTAAGAGCCATTACAATCTGATCATCATCTGACATCTTTATCTTGAAGTGCCTCTTTAATTCACATTATATATAAAATAAACTCAAGAACAGCTTGTATTGTTATATAAATATATTTGACTAATACTAACATTGAAATATTTGTGTCAGTTTAGGTTTAAACATAATATTGTATAATTATATTTGAGAAACAAGTATAATAATAATGTTATAAAAAACAAAAGCATAAATTATTTAATTTCCCTATACAATTTATTTCTATCTTCAAAATATTTGATGTCTTTTGTTTTTTTAGAAATAAAAATTGTCACTTGGTTGTCAGATTTTATATATGGTGTAACGAAGTTCACCGGGTCATCTAGTCTTAAATAATATTGATTCAATTTACTGCAGTTGTATTATATTTGAGGATTAATGTCAACATCACCCCAATAACAAAATACTTTTTCAAATAATAACACCTACAATATAAAACTGACTACTAGGACTCCTGTATGATAGATACAAAATTTTGGATATTGTTTATGACAACAGTTTTGAGATTCCCTTAAGTCAATTCCAAACTAATCATTACATAAACTAAGAATTTGTTGAAATTTTTTTAGTTACATAAGCCGATTAGCATTTCCCACAGCATGTGTTGGTTTTATAACTATGTAATAATATAATAAAAGTATATACAAAATTGATTATATTTCTACAGTATAAATGACATTATTGAACTTCTCTTACAGCGTCTGGAACGTGAGAAAGCTGAGCGGCTTGCAGTTGAGAAAGAAGAGGAGTTAACTCCAGAACAGAAGCTTGCTGAGAAGCTTCGCCAACAGAAGTTACAAGAAGAATCTGATTTAAGACTTGCCATGGAGACATTTGGTACGATAATCTTTTAAATAGCATACCAACCCTTTTAAATACTGTTTAGAAACATTATATTAAGCATTACATATTAGTGTGCTAAAGGAAGAAATGTACAATAGTGTCTAAAATGCTTCTAAATACTAATACAGTCAAAATCTATTATGACGACATCAAAGGGACTACTCATATTTGGTCATACCTAATACCATAGAATTCAGCCGGGACCTTTGTTTTGGTCAATGTAACTGGTATATTCTAAAGTCTTAACGATTTCGTCGTAAACAGTTCTGACTGTTGACATTGAATTTGACACAATAAGTGAGTGATTAAAGTCATACCTTAAGCATGAGATGTCTCAATATTGGCCTGCCTTAAATGGTACTTATCTGTATTAAGTATTATAATACATTATAACATAAAAGTAGTGTATATGTTGGTGGCTCTTAAAAAGGTCCACTTTTGTGATTGATTAAATTTATCCATAGTATTAATATAAATAATAAGTATAGGAAATTAGTAAAAAAATTATTAAGAATGTGATTGCAAAACATCTTCAATTTAAATTACTCTAAAGAGAGTTATGGATCCAAATTTTACTTGAATTTAATTAACTTATGTTACAGGTGTAACAGAAACTGGTGGTGGCAAGTTAGACAGTTTCCACCCGACAAATAAGGAAGAATTCACAGAATTTGGTGAATTGCTATGCAAGAAAATCAATTACTACAAATCAAAAGAAGAGTTCCCAGCTTTTATTGATGATCTTGTCAAAGATATTGTAGTTAATAGTAAGTTTTCACTTTTCACTATAGATCAGACTCAATTGTTTCAACAATAGACAGTTTAAAATATGTAAATTTCATTTTTTTTTTATTAATCATACATATCAAACCAAAACAGAACTTATGCTAAAATCCAAACTCCTAGCATATTATGTAGGTATTAGAATTAACAAAACATATAACTCTGATAATATAAAATTTTGATTATTTTTTATTTAACATTATTTTCTTAGTGTCATCTGCTGATATAAGAAGAATAAAAATGACAATAGACAATCTGTATATTGAAAAACAGAAGGCAGAGAAAAATGATAAGTCAAAGAAACCTAACAAAGGAAAGGGCAAGGCAAAATTAAAAGTTGAAGGAGACAATGTAAGTATTTTTATCTATAAGTTTGTGTCATCTGCGTAATAAATCTGCAAAACCTTTATTGAAGCCCTGATTGTTCAATTTGTTATAATTTAATATTTAGAGTCTGTTTCACAATGTAATAAGTTCTACATAAGTTCCAAATTAGCTATTTATTACTTATTGGTAGGATAAACACTATTGTTGCGTTTCACGACTGTCAGATAGCGCTATTCGTCACATAAAGTCCATCATAAGTTATGGGTCGAATGAAGTGTCAAATAGCCCAATTTATCATTCAAATTATTTATGTGTTGAATAGCTATTTGGTACTTTATCCATACATTGTGAAACAGACCCTTCGTCTTTTAATGTTTCGTCAATTGGTTATTCCAATGAATATGACTGTTTTTATATATTTAATGAGTCGTAGTTGCTACGATTGGTCATTGATTTCATATAACGATGCATCATGGCGAAATCAACAAATATTTTTCATATATCTATATTGTTATTGATAATGAATTACGATATTTTACCATTTGTATGTACTTAATTATAATCTAACATATTTACTATTTAGGCGGTAGCATAGGCAATGCATAAAACTAAGAATTAATTTGTAAATCAATTAATTTAGTGAGCACAGTATCTTCATGCTTGCTTTATTTTTTTTTTCCCCCCGGCGAAATTTTTTTTTTTTATGAGATATAAATTCTAAGCTCAGAATTAATTTTTCCAGCTGCATTAAATCAATTTACGCTTTGAGACTTTGAGCACAACGAAGAACTTGATCTCTTAGCCCAATCTTTTTACTTTTCTTTAAGTATTGTCAATTGCATTATGCACAGTGTAAAACGCATTTTAAATCATATTTGTATAAGATTTTAATTCGTATTTAAAGTGACATCGGCTCATTTATCAAACGGGAGTAAATGCTTATGGATACTTTTTTAAGTTGAACCGATGTTTTTTTATAGATACTAACATTATTATATATTTTTTTCCAGGCGCATCTAATATCAATATGATGCATACATATGGGAACTTTGATGGGAGGAACAAAAATGAATCTTTAGATTTTTAACAAAGTATGAACCATTTCTATGCTTGACCATCTCATAGGTAGTTCATTGATCCCTTTACTAACAACTTTTTGACATCAATAAAATCTGTGAAGGCGATTTGGACTGCCCCATCAGAGTTAAATTATTTCCCTTGCAAGAAGTTGTGAAAATTTCGAAAAAAATGGTAATCTGTTTGAGCAAGGTCCGGGAGTACGGAGGATGTCTTAGACATTCCAATTGAAGCTCTTTTAATATGTTTGTGTTGTTTGTTTTGTGAAGTAGCAGTGGCGTAGTGATTGACAGCCTAGGTTGTTTACCTAAATTATCCATCATGGTTTGAATTGCTGACAATAGAATAGCATATGCAGATTTTGCATAAAATACCGGCACATCCACAAACATTACCAGTCAATTTTGCTTGGGGCAGGATTTGGCTAGCTGGCAGGATCCAACATTTGAATTCCGATTATCGTAAGTATTTTTAAGCAGTTTGACAATTCTTATTGTGCCGACTCAGTAATTTACGCATCAAACGGGAGTCTACAATTCATTTTATGGATACGCAACTTTAAGCTTTTTTGTAGCTAACTCGGACGTGGTTTGCGATGGATCCGCTTCACAATCCCTTTAATTTTTTTTTTTCCACCTTTGGATCTAAGGCCTACGGGGCTTGTTCTGCAGGTCGAAATTTCCAAACGAAAACGGAACCAAAAACAAACTAAGTTTTCTTGACAACACTGTTCTAGAAATAATACCGCCTCGTTTCCCGCCGCCCTCTGGCGCCGGCGGGGAATTTTTATTGCGATATATTTGTGTTTTCCATTTTGTAAAATGAGTGACGCAAAGGTATCAGCACAAAACATGAGTAAATAACTGTACAAATTTTAATTTGGAGTGTATAACCAATTTTTATTAATATAACATAATTTTCCAGTCAGATATATTTGTTAGTGGAAAATCATATGGATGTCCGATTTATTGTAAAACATTATCGAAAAGTTGCATTGTATAAGGCATTAGTCATGTGTCATTTCTTAAGTTAAGTAGCAAGAGTTGATTGATATTTCAAAATAGTGAAAGAAAATTCTAATGTGTCAAAGTAAACGTTGAATTTGTACAAGGGGTGGTGTTTTGTGGACTTTTTTAACGAAATTATTTGGAAATGGAAGAATTGTATCTAAAAAAATCAGTGGCGCTACAACCTCTTTAGGTCTGAGCCTCAGATTTCTGAATCTGTTTTATGATCATTTGTCAATCTAATCAAGTAGGTGATCAGCCTCCAGTGCCTGACTCACGCCGTCGACTTTTTTGGCTCTAAGACATGTCGGTTTCCTGACGATTTTTTTTTTATAGAACGGGGGGCAAACGGGCAGGAGGCTCACCTGATGTTAAGTGATACCGCCGCCCATGGACACTCTCAATACCAGAGGGCTCGCGAGTGCGTTGCCGGCCTTTTAAGAATTGGTACGCTTTTTTTTTTTTATAGAACGGGGGCAAACGGGCAGGAGGCTCACCTGATGTTAAGTGATACCGCCGCCCATGGACACTCTCAATACCAGAGGGCTCGCGAGTGCGTTGCCGGCCTTTTAAGAATTGGTACGCTTTTTTCTTTTTTTTATAGAACGGGGGGCAAACGGGCAGGAGGCTCACCTGATGTTAAGTGATACCGCCGCCCATGGACACTCTCAATGCCAGAGGGCTCGCGAGTGCGTTGCCGGCCTTTTAAGAATTGGTACGCTCTTTTCTTGAAGGACCCTAAGTCGAATTGGTTCGGAAATACTTCAGTGGGCAGCTGGTTCCACATAGTGGTGGTGCGTGGCAAAAACTGCCTTGAAAAACGCTCAGTTGTGGAACGGCGGACGTCGAGGTGATACGGGTGGAATTTCGTATTCTGTCTCGACGTCCGATGATGAAACTCAGCTGCAGGTATTAATCCGAACAACTCCTCTGAACACACTCCATGGTAAATGCGGTAGAAGATGCAGAGTGACCTCACATCTCTACGCAACGCCAAAGGATCAAGCCGCTCGGAGGTTGATTGGTCGTCGACGATTCGAACCGCACCGCGTTGTATATGGTCAAGTGAAAGATGGATGGGGAGCCCCCGCCCAGAGGTGAGAGCAGTACTCCATGTGGGGCCGAATTTGCGCTTTATATAGTTGCATGCGGTGGCCCGGAGTGAAGCACCGCCTCGCCTTGCTGAGCACACCAAGCTTTTTGGAGGCTAATTTAGCCTTTCCCTCCAAGTGACCGCGAAACTGAACGTCGTTCGATATGTCAACGCCAAGTATTCCAATGCTGGCTGTGGCTTTAAGAAGAGTGTTTTCGAAAAGAGGAGTTGCGACAAAGGGGTTTTTTTAGCGGGAAACGCGCAAACTTGTGTCTTCTTGGGGTTAAATTGGACTAGGTTTTGTCTGCCCCAGTCTGAGACTCCACGTAGTAGAGTTTCGACTTCAGACACAAGTTTGTTCCGGTACTCATCAACAAACGAACAAACAAACGATGTTTTCCTTCACCGTTCGAGCGAATGCACACATAGAAAGAAAGTCCATTGGCGAACAGCTGGGGATCGAACTTACGACCTCAGGGATGAGAGTCGCACGCTGAAGCCACTAGGCCAACACTGCTCACTGCTGCTAAGAATTGTATCTACGTAAACTAATCGTTGTAAACTGCATTATTTAACCTTGACACGTTTCTCAAACGTAGCTTAAATAAAATAAAGTTGGCATTTGAAATTACAAAAGTGGCGCCTACACTACTTAGATATGTACTTAACAGTTTTACGTATATTGGTTAGAATGTTAATATATTGTGAAGGATATATTGCATAACATTCGCCTGTCTCTCTTATGAAATTAATCAAGATCTACAGGGCTTGAAGCTTATAGTTAAAAAACAGCTTTGTAGCCGAGGCACTATCAGATATCAGACTGGGTTGCATAAGACAATCTTCACTTTCTATACAATATCACATACAACTTTTAATATACCTATTACCTACCTAGATTTAGTTGAAGGTTTTTGGAAGATGGACTGTGCTCCTCTTCCGACCTAAAGGAAGGTTCCTCGATCAATCTAACCACTGATTGACCAGCCCGAAGGCCCCAGTAGCTATGGTTGAGAAGTGATATTTATTCTTACGGGATTGAAGCTGAATGTGACTTCCCTAATGGAAAACAGGAGTAGTATTTAGCGGTAACTCGCGACTCTGCACCCAGCTTAGGCCGGGTTTCAGGTTCCGGGTGACAGGCGAATGGAAAATACCTTTTTTTAGTGGGTTTGACCTCGCTACTTGAATCGCAGACAACTTTTTGATGATCACGCGAATACGTAACGCTACCATAACCAAATGTCGTCACTAATTAACTCAATAAAGTATAATTTCCCTAATGTAGCGGTTTGTCGGCCAGTGACATTTTTACGGTCAATTTGGTCTAATTATTGCTTTCTTACATAATAATTGTCACAACTTTTAAATACTCCTATTTGTACTAAGTTCGGTTTAAAATAGGGCTGCCATCTGTAAAACCTGCTCCCCAGGACCGGAAGCGTAAGTTCCCCGGATTTTGGAGCTTTCACCCCGGACATTTCTATAATTTCTTCATTCACTTACATCTTGATTAAAATATATTTTACTCCGTACTTGATAGAAGAAAACTTTAATTTTAACCCTAGTAGCCAAGATCTGACGTCAGTCTTAGGCCGTTTCTCCACTGCTCCGGTCCGGCAAACGTTAATTACCGATCCGATTTAGAAACTCACAACAGTACTTACGTACTTCTCCACTACTCCGGCATCCGGTTTTTAACGATCCGATAACTTGCTAGATCGGAACGCGGTGTTTTATCGGTCCAAGTATCCAAGAGGTTATAAATTATTATTCACAGGTTTATTTATAGTTTCTTTAATTTGAAAGAATCTGGATAACCTGGCCAAAACCAATTATGTTGCTATTTATTTATATTTTTATACTATAGTATTAGTGAATTATTTATTAAGTAGATTATAATATTTTTAGATAGACAATATAAAAAAGTAATAAACTTGCCAGGGCAATAAAATATTCAGAATTTAGAACGTTTTATTAATAAAATAAAGTATGTGGGTTTTAGTTAATATAAGTGTGGCATGATAAATATACAAGTATCGATTATTGTCGGATCGGATATAGTGGAGAAGCGCAATCCGGCCTTCTGATATTTTTCTCATGACTCATTCCGGTATCCGACGCCGGACCAGAGCAGTGGAGAAAGGGCCTTACGTTAATTTGGCTACTAGGGAAGCCTCTTTTGTTGCATGAAATAGTGTCTTTAATCATTCTTGTGACGACAAGTGAGTAATATTGCTTTATTTTTTAACCTTCTTAGGGATTAAATAAAAGACAAACAAACCCAATATTAGTTACTCCCGCTCGCCGCTCGCGTAGTAAAATAGCGTCAGCAGCGCGTGCGGTGAAATACCTAACCCATAGCTTTTATTTACATAAATTATGCCAACGGGATCTGATCGAAAACCCGGACTACAATTTAAACGCCGCCCGGACGCTCCCCGGACGTCTTCCAAACTAGGACAAATCGGATTCCCTAATTCAATATAACCACAGAAACACTCCACGCCACAACACATAATATCAAATACGTTTGGAAAAGATTAATCCTAATAGAGAAAGAAATACGAAATATTGAAAACCAATTATCAATTGCACAAGAATTAAAGAATTGTAAATAAATATTCTAATTAGAACATATTATCCCTGTTGTGGGATTTTGGACGTTGTAAAAAAAACAAGATGGCTGAATTGTACACATCAGAAGCGTTAATTCGAGGGAAGTTAAGGAAGTGATTATTATTAAGAATGATAATGATGCACCGGTTACATGACCGTGTCGAAACGACTGTCATTGTTACAGTTCCGACTCTGTAATTGTTTCATTTGTACGTAACACTTAATATTATTATTG